TAAACTCTTTGTCTAAATATAACTATGCATCTATTCAAATGCTATTAGGGTACCCTGGGAAACACTGACCAGCACTTTGGTTCCTACCCTGTCATAAATCCTACCTAATTTGTTGTCATGCCAAACACCAACCATAGAATTAGAATAATCATTATATTTCTATGATTCCAACCGTTCACCGAAGTGTTTTAATCTACACTGAACAAGAAGCCAGATGGGGAGGTCCTGGGCTGGCATGGTTACACAAGTCTGCGGTTGTGAGGCCGGTTGGACGTACTGCCAAATTCTCTAAAACGATGTTGGAGGTGGCTTATGGTAGCGAAATGAACATTCAATTCTATGGCAACAGCTCTGGTGGACATTCCTGCAGTCAGCATGCCAATTGCATTCTCCCTCAAAACTTGAGACATCTGTGGCATTGTGTTGTGTGACAAAACTGCACATTTTAGAGTGGTGCGCCTAACTTCACCAGTGCTACCAATAAAAAATGTTAATTTAGAGCCCTGCACACACACACACACACACACTGGTAATTCTGGAGTAGGAATCCTGGTGAATTCTGAGAATGTGTTGTAGAATGTGCCGAGCTGGCAGTGTCAGCCATGTCTAGACAAGCTAAGATCCTAGGCTGAGACACCTGCTGTCTAGTGGAAAACCGTCTGAGAGTTTCATGTTCGTAATACACACTGGTGGAACAGGAAGATGATATGCACATCCTAAACTTGAGTATACCGGTGCTAGGATAAAAAATGATGAGTCATTCTTGAATTGCGATGGTAAATGCTGTTCCTTGACTTTGGCACCATGCAAAAACAATTTAAAATGACAAAAACATAACAAATAACACATTTTCTGTTTTATTTAACTGTTATTTATTAAGAAAACTTTCGTTTATTAGGTACACCACCCCGTTCACGAAAATGGTTCACTCCTAGACAGTGTGTCACGTGGCCGTGGCTTGCTATATAAAGTAGGCAGACAGCCATCGAGGCATTCAGTTACTGTTCGATTGAACGTTAGAATGGGAATAACTAGTGACCTAAGCGACTTTGAGCATGGTATGAACGTCTGTGCCAGGCGCACCAGTTCTAGCATCTCAGAAACGGCCGGCCTCTTGGGCTTTTCACACATGACAGTGTCTAAGGTTTACCGAGAATGGTGCAACAAACAAAAAACATCCAGTCAGCGGCAGTCCTGTGGGCATCAGCTCGCTGATGAGAGAGGTCGAAGGAGAATGGCAAGAATCGTGCAAAATAACAGGCGGGCCACAAACAGGCAAATAACGGCGCAGTACAACAGTGGTGTGCAGAATGGAATGCACAACTCGTCGGTCCTTGTCACGGATGGGCTATTGCAGCAGATCACACCGGGTTCCACTCCTATCAGCTAAAAACAATAAGAAGCAGCTCCAGTGGGCACGCAATCCCGGTTCCTGTTTCGTCATGCTGATGGCAGGATTTGGCGTAAGCAGCATGAGTAAAGTAAAGATACCTTAATAGAAAATTACTCAAGTAAAAGTCAAAGTCACCCAGTAAAATCCTACTTGAGTAAAAGTCTAAAAGTATTTGGTTTTAAAAAATACTTAAGTATCAAAAGTAAATGTAATTGCTAAAATATATACTAAGTAAAAGTATAAATAATTTTAAATTCCTTATTTTAAGCAAACCAGACTGCACCATTTTCTTGTTTTTATTTATTTATAGATAACACTAATTTACAAACGAAGCATGTGTTTAGTGAGTCTGCCAGATAAGAGGCAGTAGGGATGACCAGGGATGTTCTCTTGAATTAGACCATTTCTCCTGTCCTGCTAAGCATTCAAAATGTAACGAGTACTTTTGGGTGGCAGGGAAAATGTATGGAGTAAAAAGTACACCACTGACACAGACACACACGTTCTAAAGTTATATTCTGAACTCTGCCCCCCTCATCTCTCTCCTCTCCAGTTAAGACAGAGCCTATAAACAACAGTGAGACTGACTACCACAGAATGTGTGTATGTAGGTCCTTTATACTGCAACACATCTATTTGTATGCATTGTAGAAACTACTGGAGGCTAGCAAATTGTCTTGTCCCACTGGTGACGTGTAGAGGTGTAGTGACATGGTTTGGAGATTTAGAGATAGATAAGCCTATATATTATTTTGAATAATGAACAAAAGTATTTAATATATTGTATAGATCAACAAAACAAGGAAGGCTATTAAAATACTTTCTTTTTTTAAACTAGTATAATGTGTGTCCATCAGTTTTATGTTATTGGTGTTACCACCTTGAAAATCACTGATTACAAGGACCTTGAGCATTCTCTCCAGTGGCAAACTGTTATCGGGGGAGGGGTCTATATTAAATAAACGTATTAGTATATCACACCCTGTTAGTATGTCATACATTTGAGGATTCCATTAATAATTTGGTGTCTAAATCCAAAGTGTCACTTGGTATTAGTCAATTTAAAATGAAAGGAAATAACATGAGCAAAATGATGAATCATATCACTGTAAATAATTTTTAAAGGATTGATGACCTTAGATTTGAGAATTTGTGGCCTCTATATTCCCGAAAATCCTAATTGACCTAAAATGTATATTTGATGTTACCAAAATGTCATGCCCAAATGCCACCGTAATTCAAGAACCCCCCTAATACAGATATAAATGAGGCCAGCACACTTCTAACATCTATCCCTCCAAAATAATAGGTGGTGGAGAGGTGCAGAAATGGGGAAATACAGAGGGCAATGCAGAAAGACGTGGGGGGTATAAGAGTCAAACAAACTCTGAAGCAACTTCCTGTAAGCTGACAGGAAGGAGGAAAAGGAAGCACACATGCAATGCTGAGAAGGTTAGTGATTTGCAGAATCCTTGGGACGTCCCTACCCTAAACCCTAACCCTAACCCTAACCCCTACCCTACCCTTAACCTAACCATAACCTTAACAAAAACCCTACCTAACCCTAATAACCGTTTTAAATGCCAACTTCGATGGGGTGACGTCAGAGTTGGACGTCCCAAGGATCCCATTTAAACTTTTTCTTGCTGAGAAGAAACATTGGTCCATGTTAGCAGTTAACAGCTACCTAGAGCCAGCAGGCAGGCAGGCGAGTTAGTCAGGAAGACTGATAGGGCTGCTTACCTTTTCTTAGGTAAACGTTATCTGAGAAACAGAAAGAAATAAAGGTAACTGTAACATAGAAACACACAAACACACACACACACACACACACACACGCACGCATACAACGCATACACTCACTTTGCTTGGCATGATGCAAGAGGCTTGATGACAAATAGCAGTGAAGGAGAAAATCACTGTAATTTGATCAATTATAGCATGAAGGAGAAAACATGAAGAGGAAAGGTTGTCTAAATTTAACCTAATATTACTTTCCCAGCTTAGTGAAACATACTACAGCCTTCCACTCCCCACCAGTTCCTCTTCTGCAAATACATTAGGTCTGCCAGCCCTATTCACTAAGCCGTATACAGTAGCTAGCAAACACACATACACTCACACCAACAGTCTGTGTCCACCTCTCATGTAAACCCTTATTATAGACAAACCAATAAACACAACATCTCTTGAGTCAAATCTAAACGAGAGAGTGTGTGTGTGTGTGTGTGTGTGCGCAATGGTGTGTGTTAACTACCCAGTCCCTTGGGTGTCATCTAACCCACTAAACATGCACGGTTATTACAGAGTCCATTTCATAGCCATTCAGTCCCCTCACCCCATCAGGTCTCTGCCAACACAGAGATACTCTCTTTTTCTCTTGTGGCCACTCATGCTCCAGTGTATGTGTTAAAAGATCAATTAAAGCTACATAAAAATCAAGCACATTTTATCCCCCACTGCTGCAGTTTCTATAGGCCTTTTATATATATTTGTACACTGTCCTATTTTTCCCCCGAAGTGAGATTTGCCACCAGGTAAAGATTGCGGTGTGAAAATAAAGTCAATTAGAAGCAAATTCAGCTATTGTCTCCTTGACAACAAAAAATGCTCCCAAAAATCACCATAACTAAATCTGTTATGGAGGGTGAGTAATGTGCGGATGAGATGATCCGTGGTGTGAAAATGCCTTTTCTAGAACGACCGCTGAAAGGAGGATGCTAAATTATAGATGCTAAATTATAGATGGCATTTATTTTTGACAAGCTTTGGAAGGGGTGAAAGAGAAGGATCGGAAGGGAGAAAGTCATGCTAGTTAGAGCAGTAGAGGTGGAGAAAGGGTGACTTGCTGTATTTACCGTGGCTAATATTACATGAGGTTAAATTTAGCGTGTGTGTGTGTGTGTGTATGTGGGGGTGTGTGCGTTCAACAAACTAAACAAGCTAAATAAACAAATCACGTTATGAGCAACCTTCGTGTTCATCCGAGTCTACCTTGAATTAAAGTTGCTGAATGTATTTGGGTGTCAGTTGTGTGTTTCTGTGGGCAGGTTTGACTGGACAGTGCAGTCAACTGTTGTGTGTTGGCTTGACTAGGCAGAATGAGCTCACTCTCTTATTGACTCACATGGGCCGGGGCAGGGGAGAGTGTCATAACAGGCTGAGGCTGTGTGTGTGTCTGTCTGTCTTGGGACAGGCTGCACTGTCTGTCTATGTGAACAGGTTATATTGGGGTCTCTACAAGCTACAGGTATTTTATTATACTATGAGGTCTGGTAAAGTCCAGCTACAGGTGTTTTATTATACTATGAGGTCTGGTAAAGTCCAGCTACAGGTGTTTTATTATACTATGAGGTCTGGTAAAGTCCAGCTACAGGTGCTTTATTATACTATGAGGTCTGGTAAAGTCCAGCTACAGGTGCTTTATTATACTATGAGGTCTGGTAAAGTCCAGCTACAGGTATTTTATTATACTATGAGGTCAGGTAAAGTCCAGCTACAGGTGTTTTATTATACTATGAGGTCAGGTAAAGTCCAGCTACAGGTGTTTTATTATACTATGATGTCAAGTAAAGTCCAGCTACAGGTGTGTGTTCAGTATAATTCCTCAAGTATCAAAAATGAGCAATAAAGCCACAGATGAAGAGGGTGTGTTTATTCACTATAGACTAAGATGTGTATATTCACGTGTAAAACGCACATGTAAAGGTGTGTGTGATCAAATATCATCTCACAGCTCCAGGTGTGTGTGTGTGTGTATGTGTGTGTGTGAGCATGCGAGTTCCCAGGTGGTGCCCCTACCTTCAGGGGGTTGGAGGGTCTTGTTGTTCTGGGAGCACCAGCCTACTGGGTGGAGTTCGGCGGTCATGACATCACACCAGAAGTCGGCCTTGCGGTCATCTCCGTAGCCACTGAAGCGCAGCAGCAGCAGCTGGCCGCAGGTGGTGACGATGGTGGCCACCCAGTAGGTGTCTGGGCTGCTCTTATTGGCCACTTCCAGCTTCATCCCCGGCTGGAAGCTACTCTGTAGGCTGATGTCCACCTGCGAGGACCAATCAGGGAGCACCACGTCACACAAGAGCCCGCCCTCACTTACACTGATAGGTGAGCTTGATTATAATAGGCTTGCACTTAATAGGTAAATCAAGTGCATTGGGCAAGATAAAGCAGATCTGTACATTGACGTTCTAAAGTGAATGACATCACAGGTCTACATGAAAAATGAGGGACGTCTGACTGGCTCGCTGAGCCATGATTGACAGAGTAAAACACAGGTTGGCCACAGGTAATGAACAGGTATGACACAGGGGATTTCTAAAAGCTCCCCACCCACACTACCTGTTTATTCAACCACTTTGAATATTCTAAACAATCTGGCCTTTACGGACAGTGACTCACAGAGAGAACATGAGGGAGAGAGCAAGAGATAGAGCACATATCTAAAAGGGCTAGTGTACCAGGAAATTGATAATGTAATGTGTTTCAACCATAGCCACAGGCTGCACTCACACTAACACATATCTAAAACCCATTATATAACACACAAACACATGCACGCGCACACACTGCCTGTGTTACTGGAAAAAGCCAACATCTTAGAACTAAAAACAATGCAAATGGCCTCATGACTTCCTGATAGAAACAAAGCAACTATGCTGTATCACACTGGATGGCTTATGTAAGAGAGGCAGAGAAACAGAGCGAGACAGACAGAGAAACAGACTGACAGAGAGACAGAACGAGACAGACAGAGAAACAGACTGACAGAGACAGAACGAGACAGACAGAGAAACAGACTGACCGAGAGAAAGACAAAGAGAGAGACCGAGAGAAAGAAAGAGAGCGACCCCACAAGGAATCACTGTTTCAATTGGCACTAGGTCTGTTGAGAGCATGAGAGATATTTCACTATTTCACAGAAATCAATGCTAAATAAAAAATAAAATAAAAATAAATAACAGAAATACCTTATTTACATAAGTATTCAGACCTTTTGCTATGAGACTCGAAATTGAGCTCAGGTGCATACTGTTTCCATTAATCATCCTTGAGTTGTTTCTACAACTTGATTGGAGTCCACCTGTGGTAAATTCAATTGATTGGACATTGGAAAGGCATACACCTGTCTATATAAGGTCCCACAATTGACAGTGAATGTCAAGAGCAAAAACCAAGCAATGAGGTTGAAGGAATTGTCCGTAGAGCTCCGAGACAGGATTGTGTCGAGGCACAGATCTGGGGAAGGGTACCAAAAAATCTCTGTGTAGATTGATGAGGGGGAAAAAACAATTTCATCAATTTTAGAATAAGGCTGTAACGTAACAAAATGTGGAAAAAGTCAAGGGGTCTGAATACTTTCCGAATGCACAGACGCAACAATGAGAGAACAGGGTATGTCATCTCTGGTATGCGAGTCTCCGTCAACAGCAGTGACTCTGAATATGTGACTGTACAGTGGGGAAAAAATGTATTTAGTCAGCCACCAATTGTGCAAGTTCTCCCACTTAAAAAGATGAGAGAGGCCTGTAATTTTCATCATAGGTACACGTCAACTATGACAGACAAATAGAGGAAAAAAATTCCAGAAAATCACATTGTAGGATTTTTAATGAATTTATTTGCAAATTATGGTGGAAAATAAGTATTTGGTCACCTACAAACAAGCAAGATTTCTGGCTCTCACAGACCTGTAACTTCTTCTTTAAGAGGCTCCTCTGTCCTCCACTCGTTACCTGTATTAATGGCACCTGTTTGAACTTGTTATCAGTATAAAAGACACCTGTCCACAACCTCAAACAGTCACACTCCAAACTCCACTATGGCCAAGACCAAAGAGCTCTCAAAGGACACCAGAAACAAAATTGTAGACCTGCACCAGGCTGGGAAGACTGAATCTGCAATAGGTAAGCAGCTTGGTTTGAAGAAATCAACTGTGGGAGCAATTATTAGGAAATGGAAGACATACAAGACCACTGATAATCTCCCTCGATCTGGGGCTCCACGCAAGATCTCACCCCGTGCGGTCAAAATGATCACAAGAACGGTGAGCAAAAATCCCAGAACCACACGGGGGGACCTAGTGAATGACCTGCAGAGAGTTGGGACCAAAGTAACAAAGCCTACCATCAGTAACACACTACGCCGCCAGGGACTCAAATCCTGCAGTGCCAGACGTGTCCCCCTGCTTAAGCCAGTACATGTCCAGGCCCGTCTGAAGTTTGCTAGAGTGCATTTGGATGATCCAGAAGAGGATTGGGAGAATGTCATATGGTCAGATGAAACCAAAATATAACTTTTTGGTAAAAACTAAACTCGTCGTGTTTGGAGGACAAAGAATGCTGAGTTGCATCCAAAGAACACCATACCTACTGTGAAGCATGGGGGTGGAAACATCATGCTTTGGGGCTGTTTTTCTGCAAAGGGACCAGGACGACTGATCCGTGTAAAGGAAAGAATGAATGGGGCCATGTATCATGAGATTTTGAGTGAAAACCTCCTTCCATCAGCAAGGGCATTGAAGATGAAACATGGCTGGGTCTTTCAGCATGACAATGATCCCAAACACACTGCCCGGGCAACGAAGGAGTGGCTTCGTAAGAAGCATTTCAAGGTCCTGGAGTGGCCTAGCCAGTCTCCAGATCTCAACCCCATAGAAAATCTTTGGAGGGAGTTGAAAGTCCGTGTTGTCCAGCGACAGCCCCAAAACATCACTGCTCTAGAGGAGATCTGCATGGAGGAATGGGCCAAAATACCAGCAACAGTGTGTGAAAACCTTGTGAAGACTTACAGAAAACGTTTGACCTGTGTCATTGCCAACAAAGGGTATATAACAAAGTATTGAGAAACTTTTGTTATTGACCAAATACTTATTTTCCACCATAATTTACAAATAAATTCATAAAAAATCCTACAATGTGATTTTCTGGATTTTTTTCTTCTCATTTGTCTGTCATAGTTGATGTGTACCTATGATGAAAATTACAGGCCTCTCTCATATTTTTAAGTGGGAGAACATGCACAATTGGTGGCTGACTAAATACTTTTTTCCCCCACTGTATTTAAGTGTGGTCTTCAGCAGGAGTCTAACTACACTGTGTTTGCCACCTTCTCCTCCCTGCTGAATCCTCCTCCTCCTCCCTCTCCCTCTTCCCTCTCTGTGGATGACTTCGTCAACCATTTTGAAAAGAAGGTTGACGACATCCGATCCTCATTTATTAAGTCAAATGACACCGCTGGTCCTGCTCACACTGCCCTACCCTATGCTTTGACTTCTTTCTCCCCTCTCTCTCCAGATGAAATCTTGCGACTTGTGACGGCCGGCCGCCCAACAACCTGCCCGCTTGACCCTATCCCCTCCTCTCTTCTCCAGACCATTTCCGGAGACCTTCTCCCTTACCTCACCTCGCTCATCAACTCATCCTTGACCGCTGGCCATGTCCCTTCCGTCTTCAAGAGAGCGAGAGTTGCAACCCTCCTCAAAAAACCTACATTCGATCCCTCCGATGTCAACAACTACAGACCAGTATCCCTTCTTTCTTTTCTCTCCAAAACTCTTGAGCGTGCCGTCTCTAGCCAACTCTCCTGCTATCTCTCTCAGAATGACCTTCTTGATTCAAACCAGTCAGGTTTCAAGACTGGTCATTCAACTGAGACTGCTCTTCTCTGTGTCACGGAGGCTCTCCGCACTGCTAAAGCTAACTCTCTCTCCTCTGCTCTTATCCTTCTAAACCTATCCGCTGCCTTTGATACTGTGAACCATCAGATCCTCCTCTCCACCCTCTCCGAGTTGGGCATCTCCGGCACTACTCACTCTTGGATTGCATCCTACCTGACAGGTCGCTCCTACCAGGTGGCGTGGCGAGAATCTGTCTCCGCACCACGTGCTCTCACCACTGGTGTCCCCCAGGGCTCATTTCTAGGCCCTCTCCTATTCTCTCTATACACCAAGACGACACACAATTCATTTTCTCCTGGTGGCGAATCGCATCTCTGCATGTCTGGCAGACATATCAGTGTGGATGTCGGATCACCACCTCAAGCTGAACCTCGGCAAGACGGAGCTGCTCTTCCTCCTGGGGAAGGACTGCCCGCTCCATGATCTCGCCATCACAGTTGACAACTCCATTGTGTCCTCCTCCCAGAGTGCAAAGAACATTGGCGTGACCCTGGACAACACCCTGTCGTTCTCTGCTAACATCAAAGCGGTGACCCGATCCTGCAGGTTCATGCTCTACAACATTCGCAGAGTACGACCCTACTATACACAGAAAGCGGCACAGGTCCTAATCCAGGCACTTGTCATCTCCCGTCTGGATTACTGCAACTCGCTGTTAGCTGGGCTTCCTGCCTATGCCATTAAACCCCCACAACTTATCCAGAACGCTGCAGCCCGTCTGGTGTTCAACCTTCCCAAGTTCTCTCATGTCACCCCGCTCCTCCGCACACTCCACTGGCTTCCAGTTGAGGCTCGCATCTCCTACAAGACCATGGTGCTTGCCTACGGAGCTGTGAGGGGAACGGCACCTCCTTACCTTCAGGCTCTAATCAGACCCTACACCCAAACGAGGACACTACGTTCATCCACCTCTGGCCTGCTAGCTCCCCTACCTCTACGGAAGCACCGTTCCCGCTCAGCCCAGTCAAAGCTATTCGCTGCTCTGGCACCCCAATGGTGGAACAAGCTCCCCCACGATGCCAGGACAGCGGAGTCACTGACCACCTTCCGGAGACACTTGAAACCCTACCTCTTTAAGGAATACCTGGAATAGTATAAAGTCATCCTTCTTCCCCCCCCCCAAAAAAATAAATAAAATAAAAAGGGGTTGTCCCACTGGCTATCATAAGTTGAATGCACCGATTTGTAAGTCGCTCTGGATAAGAGGGTCTGCTAAATGATGTAAATGTAAATGTTTAACATCATTAGCTAAAGTACATTCTCACTCAAACACATGTTTAAAAGGATTTGCATGAATGCCACTCATTCAATAACAGTATTTACAAGATGTTGTGTGGGTTATGGAAATGTAAAGAACGTGTGTTTTTCACTCACATGTTTAAAAGCGGTGTGGGGTGCAGCGGTCGCCCCCGTCTCCTCTAGGTACTCCTCCCAATTAAAGTCTGCCTCTTCCTCCATGGAGTCTGCGTCTGATTGGAAGAAAGCACTGTCAGTCATTTTGACTGCCACCAACCCAGTCACAATTACACTGACATGACAAAACATAAAACTCACCATAAAAACAACCATAACAGCATCACACTCAATAATGACATGTTTTATTTCATTAAATAGCAGAAACAAATCATTCAGTCGACATTCATACCGGTTTTAGACTAGGGGGATATCGTCTATATGAATGCAGCTGCCACTGTATTGAAGCCATTGGACGCAGTTTATCATAGCGGTTTATCATAATTTATTGCGGGCGATAGGTTCAATACATGTCTGCATTCTGTATCAAAGTTCGGGCCGCACTGTGAACCCGAATGAATATATACAAATAAAATAAAAACTAGCCCTATATGCTTTGAGAGGTCCCGTGTGACTCAGTTGGTAGAGCATGGCGCTTGCAACGCCAGGGTTGTGGGTTCGATTCCCACGGGGAACCAGTACGGGAAAAAAAGTATGAAAATGTATGCCTCTTCAGTAAATCTGAGCGGAACATTATTTTTCAGTCTATTCCGTTCAAACAACTAGAGCCTATGCGCACATTGTAATCAAAATTAGAATCTTAATTGCTGCATTTAAAACTGTCCTTTTGTGAGGCGCCGCTGGGAGCTAGTTCTGTACGATGGCGAGTGGTGGGGGTCGATAAACCAGAATTGGGGGATCCTCCATTGTTTAAATCTCCAGTTTGGGAACATTTTGGCTTCCCAGTAGATTACAACGGCAATGGACAGAGAGTTGTGGATAAAACGTTTACAGTATGTCGCCAATGCTCAACGAGAATAGCCTATGCAGCTGCTATTTTTTTACAGTCTTTGATTTATAGATGCGGATATGCGCCCATTTTCGGTGGTTGGGAATAGACAGTTTCAGCACCTTGTGAAAGTGCTCGAGCCACGTTACGAACTTCCCTCTTGCACCCATTTAAGCAAACCGGTAGTACCCGCTCTCTATAAGCAAGCCAAAGCTTTCAATGAATTGGCCAATGCACCCTGTGTTGCACTTTCTTAACAGTGACAGCCCATTACATTACCCCAGAATGGGAGATATACAATGCTACAGACAAGCCCCCTTTATGAGAGTCACAACTGTGCATCTGGCACTTAAGAAGGCAGTGTCATGGTGCATTCGTAACCAAGAGGGAAGTGGGAATATACCACATACGACAAAACAAATTCCACTTCAACAGCCCTCCAACTGGTAATTACTAGTGGGAACTCGTCTATCATCCTGAGCACCCACTTCTCCCACATGGTGACCTCTGACGTCACCTACTAAGGAAACGGCCTTTATAACAGTATTTTCAGCAGTTAAAATAAATCCATTCTGGTGGTTTTTGAACTCTAATTTGTTTACAAGCATGATAGTTTATGGTTGACGCTGCTTGTTAGCCACTAGCCAATCTGCATTTATCAACGAGTTCAAATAACATGAATGCATCCATCTGATAACTCGTAAATTCCCACCTCCCACATGGTTACAAACGCAGCATCAGAGTGGAAACTTGACAGGCCCAACATAACAATCCTGTCACAACAGACAATGCCAGGAACATTGTGAATGCTGAACATTGAGCATGGCATTTCATTTTCCCGCAGTACTGAAACTGAACCGTGACCCCAAAACCGCAACACGTACTGATCTGTGGGTTTGGTGAACCGTTACACCGCTACTTATAGAGATGTACAAGATACCAGACCCGGTCTCAGGGATGGCTAACTCTGGAGATTCCTTCGATCTCCACTGAGCTGGGTAGATCTGCTTTTAGTTATTTTGCACCTTACGTGTAGAATGATCCCCAATGCACTTTAAAATGTGAGGAATTTTGGCTCTAGGGCACTTCAGACTGCTGTTAGGGGACCTGTTTTACTGGTCTGTTTTTTATGATTGTGATTTGCTTTTCATGTATTGTTGTATATAATAACGAGTATTTTAATGTGTACATGGATGTGTAGTTTAATGTGTATATTGTATTTTTATGTGTATTCTTGTGCAGGGCTCATCTGGAAAAGAGACCTTGGTCTCAGCATTGACTCCCTGTCAAAATAAAGGTTAAATAAAATGTTAATAAATTACAATGCAGTGGAGAAAAAGCAATGAAACAGGAATAATGTTGTAAACAAAACAGTATATTTCCTCAGTCCCTAGCGAAGGAGTCGAGTGAAATACAGTTTGCGTGGAGTGGGAAAAATGTTTACGCCTTCATTCTGCAACGATCAAAGTCACTGTGTAAACAGATACGTCATAATTTAATGAGACAAGCAGGGAGAGATCTGATCACACACACGCACCAATGTAATTTCTCTAAATCTATGGGGAAGGAACTTTATAAAGAACACAGCAGGAACCAGCTAAAACAAAGTTGTCTCTTTTCAACCATCCAAAATTAGGTCACTTGAAAATGTATCTGATTTTTTGTGAGTTTTATGTGTGTGTGTTCCACGTAATGCCACTAATGTTTCTCCTCAAGGTGAGAACTGTTCAATTTTCCCGTGGGAGACTAATACTTGGACAAGGTATAATGTGTATTCTCTGTGTGTGTGTGTGTGTGTTTGTGTGTCTCTTGTTCCTGCTGTGTGGTTTCTCCTCTCTAGGCTGTGTCTCATGGGACTGAGTGTGTGGGACTTAACCTGCACCAATGAGAGAGAAGAAACTACCTGTTGTTGCAGTCGGGGGCTTTCTGAAAACAATCTGCTAAGCTTGATCTTCTCCCTTACACATAGTAGTGTGTGTGTGTGTGTGTGTCTGTGTGTGTTTGCGTGTTCACACTCCTCATCCCCAGACCTTTACAAAGGCTATGACATCATACCTTCCACTATCCATCTCAACCTGATTCAAAGGGGTCATGTTACGAACGCTGCTTTTAACAAAAAGTAATCTTGTCATTCAAGCGTATTTGGGATTTAGAAAAGCACTTTAAAAATCCTTTAATATATGTTTTAGAATTAAAAAGATGTTAGATCAATCGTAGTGTTGAGAAAATGCTCCTAGGTGAGTTGCATTTCCTCTTTCCTTTCAGCCAGACAAAACTTTCCTGTTTTCTATTACTTTTCATCCGAGTTCCACTTTTCCAGTCTGTTCATTTGATAAGAAGCACCTTGTAGGGCTGAACAGAACAGAACAAGGAAGTGAACACAGGAAAAAAACAATGACAGAGAGACTCTAACTATGACTCTACAGTCAGCGCACATCCCCACACCACTGACCCTGACCAGGCAAACTGGACCAGATTCTCTCACAGCTTGACACAGTGGCTGCTGCAGATTCCTGCTGAATAATCAAAACAAAAAAAATAGTCCCGCACTACACGCATTCTGAGACCTTGGTGAAGGTCAATAATGGTGTGGCATCTCAAAAGGAATGTGAAAAATTGGAAAATGGCTGCTTTTCAATGCAATCACTGAGCATTTTAAAACCACAACCCCTGTTGTGATTGTGATACAATGGAGATGAATGGTTGTACCCTTCACATGTCATCAAACAATGGCAGACAAAAAATGAGGAAGGGATCGAAGATTAAAAAGTGTAGGTAAAATCCCTCACCTGAGTGCACCTGTTCTTCTCTCCCGTTGGTCGGGCTGTGGGATTTCCCTGTGGAGAGGGCGAATGGCCTGTCCTGTGGGCGGGACTGCATCCTGCTCTCTCTTCCCGGTAACCTTTACCTTTTTACCCTTAGTCCGTCTGTCTTCAGACTCCTCAGTCTTCACTGCATCTCCCTCATTCCTCCACTGTGTCACACAAAGGAGGAGTTAAGTAGGAATGGAGCATTCAAATCCATATCATGTCCATCTAAACAATTACCACTATAACAGTAACGAAAGACAACATGGGCATTTATTTCAGACCATACAGATGGAATAGCCTCTGTTCTACTAATTATATTTGTACAGCATAGAATACCTGTTCAGCACAGTGTGTTTCTATGTCTCTGCTTGGTAGCTGGTAGAGCACGGCGCTTGTAAACGCCAAGGGTAGTGGGTTCGATCCCCGGGACCACCCATACACAAAAATGTCCTGCACGCAGGACTAGTCGCTTGGATAAAAGCTTCTGCTAAATGGCATTTATTCATGATTATTTATTAGTAGTAGTATGCCGAGAGCAATGTAACTATGTGGCCAGTGCCGGTACTGGGAATCTTGTTAAAGTTGAGGGTCGCATGGATTCCACTCAATATCAGCAGATTCTTGGGAATAATGTTGAAGAATCAGTCACAGAGTTGAAGTTACGCCGGGGCTGGACATTTCAACAAGACAACGACAGAGGAACAAGTACAATGTTCTGGAATGGCCATCCCAGTCCCCAGACCTGAATATCATTGAGAATCTGTGGGATGATTTGAAGCGGGCTGTCCATGCTCAGCAACCATCAAACCTAACTGAAGTGGAGATGTTTTGTAAGGAGGAATGGTCCAAAATACCTTCATCCAGAATCCAGACACTCATTAGAGGCTATAGGAAGCATCTAGAGGCTGTTATTTTAGCAAAAGGAGGCTCTACTAAATATTGATATGATTTTTCTGTTGGGGTGCCCAAATTTATGCACCTGTCTAATTTCGTTTTGATGCATATTGCACATTTTCTGTTAATCCAATAAACCTCATTTCACTACTGAAATATTACTGTGTCCATCAGTTATTTGATAGATCAAAATGAAATTGCTGATCCAAACACCCAATTATTTATAAATGGAAATCATGGAAATTGTCAGGGGTGCCCAAACTTTTTCATACAACTGTATATTGTATTTTTATGTGTATTCTTGTGCTAAACAGGGCTCATCTGGAAAAGAGACATTGGTCTCAGCATTGACTCCCTGTCAAAATAAAGGTTAAATAACATTAAAATAAATTACAATGCAGTGGAGAAAAAGCAATGAAACAGGAATAATGTTGTAAACAAAACAGTATATTTCCTCAGTCCCTAGCGAAAGAGTTGAGTGAAATACACTTTGCGTGGAGTGGGAAAAATGTTTACGCCTTCATTCTGCAACGATCAAAGTCACTGTGTAAACAAATACGTCATAATTTAATGAGACAAGTAGGGAGATATCTGATCACACACACACCAATGTCATTTCTCAAAATCTATGGGGAAGGAACTTTATAAAGTCGGTGTTGTGTGGTGGTGTTGTTTGTTTTCCACGTAATGCCACTAATGTTTCTCCTCAAGGTGAGAAACTGTTCAATTTTTACCCCGTGGGGAGACTAATACTTGGACAAGGTAGAATGTGTTCTTCTCTCTGGTGGGTGGTGTGTGTGTGTGTGGTCTCTTGTTTCCTCTGTGTGGTTACTCCTCTAGGCTGTGGCTCATGGGACTGAGTGTGTGGGCTTAAACCCTGCACCCAATGAGAGAAGAAGAAATCACCTGTGTTGCAGATCGGGGTCCTTTCTGAAAAATCTGCTTAGGCGGATCTTCCTCCCCTACACAAGTAGTAGTGTGTTGGTGTGTGTGTGTGTTTGCGTGTTCACATCCTCATCCCCAGACCTTTACAAAGGCTATGGACATCAATACCGTCCACTATCCATCTCAACTGATTCAAAAGGGGTCATGTTACGAACGCTTTTAACAAAAAGTAATCTTGTCATTCAAGCGTATTTGGGATTTAGAAAAGCACTTTAAAAATCCTTTAAAATATATTTTATAATTAAAAAGATGTTAGATCAATCGTAGTGTTGAGAAAATGCTCCTAGGTGAGTTGCATTTCCTCTATCCTTTCAGCCAGACAAAACTTTCCTGTTTTCTATTACTTTTCATCCGAGTTCCCCTTTTCCAGTCTGTTCATTTGATAAGAAGCACCTTGTAGGGCTGAACAGAACAAGGAAGTGAACACAGGAAAACAATGACAGAGAGACTAACTATGACTCTAAAGTCAGCTGACACATCCCCACACCACTGACCCTGACCAGGCAAACTGGACCAGATTCTCTCACAGCTTGACACAGTGGCTGCTGCAGATTCCTGCTGAATAATCAAAACAAAAAAAATATTCCCGCACTACACGCATTCTGAGAACTTGGTGAAGGTCAATAATGGTGTGGCATCTCAAAAGGAATGTGAAAAATTGGAAAATGGCTGCTTTTCAATGCAATCACTGAGCATTTTAAAACCACAACCCCCTATTGTGATACAATGGAGATGAATGGTTGTACCCTTCATGTGTCATCAAACAAAAAATGAGGAAGGGATCGAAGATTAAAAAGTGTAGGTAAAATCCCTCACCTGAGTGCACCTGTTCTTCTCTCCCGTTGGTCGGGCTGTGGGATTTTCCTGTGGAGAGGGCGAACGGCCTGTCCTGTGGGCGGGACTGCATCCTGCTCTCTCTTCCTGGTAACCTTTACCTTTTTACCCTTAGTCCGTCTGTCTTCAGACTCCTTAGTCTTCACTGCATCTCCCTCATTCCTCCACTGTGTCACACAAAGGAGGAGTTAAGTAGGAATGGAGCAATAAAATTAATATCATGTCCATCTAAACAATTACCACTAAAACAGTAACGAAAGAGAATATGGGCATTTATTTCAGACCAAACAGATGGAATAGCCTCTGTTCTACTAATTATATTTGTACAGCATAGAATACCTGTTCAGCACAGTGTGTTTCTATGTCTCTGCTTGGTAGCTGGTAGAGCACGGCGCTTGTAACGCCAGGGTAGTGGGTTCGATCCCCGGGACCACCCATACACAAAAATGTATGCACGCATGACTAAGTCGCTTTGGATAAAAGCGTCTGCTAAATGGCATTTTATTATTATTATTATTAGTAGTAGTATGCGAGAGCAATGTACAGTTTCTGCTGTTGTGGATTTGCATACCTCAGCACAGCTCTCCAGCCACAAGAGATAACCAACCACAGTTTAAATAAGGTAGAAGACCAGGACCGACACAGCAGAACCTCATAATAACTATGCCACAGAGATCAGCGTTACATAAACCATTAAGAAAGAAGAGGTATTTCAAAAGGCTTAATCACTCATATAGGAATCATAACGCTTAGACATAATTTAGTTTTTGCTTTATTTAAAAGATCTTGGAGAAAAACAAACTAAATATTTTCCTATTGTTTTTCCACTCTGTCTCTTTCCCAGATCATGGTTACGTTTGTGATATTTTGGGATAACTGCCATTTCTCTCAGCCTCCGCAATGACTCACTCTAACTGCACCCACTTCCATCAACTGTTCAATTAACACTGATTCAAAGAGCAGATTCATACCGATGCCCTTCAATCAAACTAATACACAAAAACAACTCTCTGCAGACTTCACACATTTGCCTAAGCATTCAAATGAGCAATAGGCAATGTTCTGTGCTTGTCATCATCTGTTTTTTTATAGCATGAGGAACATCACTGGAAATGCATTTAAATCAACTCGTTTCTTCATGTGTCCTCTGTCACGCAGGGATCCAAACACACATCTATCCATAGCGTAAACAACATGCTGGTCTAATTGGACTCACATGATGTTGGCCCCTGTTCCTCTCCACTCTGCCTGATAGTCCACACTCTCCAGGACGCAAACATAGGATCCATCTACTGACTTCAGTCCAGAAACTATCAGAGATCACAGTCCACAGGGTCCATTAAATAACTAAAATGTAGTATAAACCACAACGTCTAGGACACAATCAGAGAAAATCACATATTTACATGTAGGTTTACAGGATAAAGAGAACCGGGCAACTTGTCTCACAGACAGAGGGTCACTTATCCCAGAAATGGTGTCACTGATTTAAATCGAAAAGGTTCACTATTATTGCATTCAGTTAAGAGGATCTAAGGCTGCGTTTACACAGGCAGTCCAATTGATATATATTTTTCACTCATTGTTTTTTTTAACCAAAAGCAGCCTAACTAAACCACTAAATGAAAACATATTGGTCCATACTGGTCCCCAGCATCCCAGTGAGCAGCCCAGATTGTCTCCTGGGGATTAATCTGAGACGCAGGTCTTTCCTGGTTAAAGCCTCATCAGATTGAGATGGAGGGGGGCGGTGTTATTGATTAGCTTCGATGAGTCCAGTAGGCACCACACGCTGTCCCTTAGCTGCCTTTCTCTAAAACCCCAACTAGGACAATAGAAATACTTCATGGGGAATTGACAAATTAACTAACACTATTTGGGCTGGGTGTGTCCTTCCTTATCTCCCATCATGTTTTTGTTTTTAGGAATCAACATGACACAATTGATCCTGTTAAGAGTAATGATATCTCTCAACGATTTCTACACTTCTCTGTTTTATCACTCACCATTCATTCTATGTAATCTATAATATTACATCCAATGAAAGATTTCATGATTTATCAGTATCTATGAAGTATTAGTAGAATATATCAGTAGAATATAGTGTCTTGTCTCTATGGCACATCTAGCCTGGTGTGTTCCTTAAACAGCCTGTGATGCTGTGTGAGATCAGCTGACTGACATATTTAAAAGACTGAAGTGCAAACAACAACTGCCCCGGGCAGACAGACAGACAGGCCACAATGCACAGAGGCAATGAGAAAACATACTAATGAGAGCCTACTGCCTACATCAGCAGCTTCAGTCAACTTCTCCAGCATCAAGCCATTGTTTGAGTAACATCACACCAGAAGGGCTATATGATTACTTTTTCCATCAACTCAGAAATAATCGAAAATAGATGGAAATTGATCTTGTTTGATCTTATTCCAAATGTTATGTTGTATAATATGCTTTTATCTTCTCTGAAGAAAAAACATCTGATGTAGGCTAATCATTGTACAGCCTTTTTGCGCAGAGCCCGTTGTGTCTGTTAGGCTGACTATTATGCCACGTGACTCATTATCTCTCCTCCAGACATTGATCGGGTCAAAATAAAATTAAAAATATTTTTTTAAACCTCCTGTGATTCATTCATGCATACACCTCACTGAAGACTCTTAGTGGAGAAAACGAAATGTGGCTTTCTTTACATTGCAATTAATCTAGTCAGCCAGACACTTCCCGTGAGCAATTAGCCTGGGGATGTGGTTACCTTGCCATTATTTCACCTGAAACTATAGCAGACACCTTTGAACTGATGATGTCAAGTCACAGCCTTGACCTAATGACTTAATACATCCGTTTTCCATATCATTTTGTTATGTAATTCACTGTGAAAGACGTGTTAATAATGTAAGTTGTTCTTGGCTAATACAATTCTCTGTCTTCACTCACAGAGCAGTGCCAATCCATCAATGTTTTATCTGTTCTTCCTTTAGAACCTTATCAGGGACATTTACATACAATGGCATGTGTTATCAAAAGATCGATTATAAACGGCGCTGAGGAGTACATGAATAAAACCATCAATAACCATGCATCCTTGATCACCGTGATCTTTACCCCTATACCAGATCCCTGGACACTTCATAGGGTTTTACAGTAAAGAGGCGAGATCTTCTCCATGATGTTGCTTGCTTCCATTCCATCTAGGCTACACCAGTACCAAGGAAAAACGATCTCACATGACAGCCACGGACCTACCGTATGTTTTAGGGTTTTATGGCAATACGCAGCCTGAATACGCATGAGAGTGCACATGCACATCACTGTTCATTTGGTAACGTGGCTTTATTTTTATATTCATTATGGAGCTGAATGTAATCCCGAAGAGGGATCATCAGAATAATGCGCAACTAAACTCCGGATTTGCTGACTGCCCGCAATAAGTAAATAAAAAATTTAATGGATATACGCGCGGTTTAACCCAATTAGCAACTTCGTCCATCACATTTGGCATAACGTCGGATTGGGAGAATTACCTCGTGCAATTTTACAATCATCAAGATTGATGTTAAAACCTTGATGGATGATTAAAAAGACAAATGGAACCGTTCATCAGACCATTATTCTATGTGTACTAAATAACGATTAAAAATAGATTGTAACTGCTAATGCTGAAGAAGTGAAACAGGAAATGTAGCTAGGTCTACTGTGCATTTGTGGGATACGCGTGTCGCCGACGTCCTCTCAGTGCGTAAGCAGTCAGTAATTTGTATTTGGCACTTCGCTAATGTACTTTGCACACAAAGTATTGCAGCGGAAAAAAACTCGAACGGTATTGCTAAACGTCCACTTCTAATTTAATTCATTAGAGCTCGTTAATGTGCATCAAAAGAAACTGGAACTGGACGGTTAACTGCAGTAATTGTATTTTTTCCTCATTCAAAGATTTTACATGCAGTTTTTTTACACAACATAACCCGCCATGTTGAAAGTGGTTTGACATATTGGCAATGTCCGGTATTTTCCGATGCCTTTGCGCACCTATGTGTGGAAAAAGCATGACACACCTAGACGTTTAAACTGTAAATATGAACATTTAAAACGAAGTCAGGGTTGTGAACTTATGAGCATTTCACTATTTTATCGTTTTCAGTGGAAAGCAGACCGTTAGATGGAAATTCATTTATCAGGCTTATTGAAATGTGTTTTTCCTACGCACCGCAAGCATTAAAATAAATGTTTATGTAACCAATTTATTTTTGCATCAAGGTTTACATTATGCCTTTCAATAAAGAAAAACAATCATACCAACTAAATTGAAAGTGCCACGAAGCGACCTTCTCACCGCATGTGAAAGCTATAATTACGCACGTAAAAACACTTTGAACAACTTGGCTCCTGAAAGCGCCAGTATTTCTGTTTCTAGAGAAACAGCCTCGAGTCGGAGTGGTTAAAGGTTTACGCCAGGAAAAACCTCTCACGGTGGATATTTCGTCGAGAAAACGACGGCTCTGGATTAGTAACCTACATAAATATTTAAAGAAGCGCCAACCTGTCACCTGTCTTACCTTAATGATGTTTTTTTCGCGTCTAATTTGCGAGCCTTTTCGTTCTGTGGAAGCCAGCGAGCGACGTCTTGCAGCTGCACAGCACAGAGCTCGTTCCAATATGGCATCCCACATCTGCGCATGTCCAAAAATCTTCAGATTATTTTCAAAGCCAACTCCTTCAATGACCTTTAGTGCAGTTGCGAAATTTGTTCAGCCAATTATAAATAGAATGTCGAAGTAGGCTACCCACCCCCATTTTTAACCCCTCGGTCTTTCATAGCTGAAATACACAATGCAATATGGCTGAAATACACAATACATAGATATTGCTACCAGTGTGTTTACACAATGATGAAGCCACCATTTTTACACTTCTGAACCAATTCATGATAGATGTAATGATATTTCCGAATACGTTTTTCATTGTCAAGACTAAATTGTTTTCATTGTTTTAAAAATTGGGAATATTTACATTTTAGTCATTTAGCAGACGCTCTTATCCAGAGCGACTTACAGTTAGTGAGTGCATACATTTTTCATACTGGCCCCCCGTGGGAAACGAACCCACAACCCTGGCTTTGCAAGCGCCATGCTCTACCAACTGAGCTACACGGGGCCCAATACTATATAGGCTACATTCTGTTAAGGTTGTTTTTACATGTGAAATATAAGTATCCAATACACAAATCCCAACAGAAGCCCAACAGGCATACTGTATAGCCAAATATAAAAACCTTGTTCAAGCCTGGAGCCAAAAATGCTTGTCTTACAACTATTTGATATTCAAATAAATGAACAAACGTATAGGCCTATGCATGTGCTACCCCCTTCTTTGAGAATTACATTGGCACTGTTTTTGACGGTTACAATTGTGTCTTGAAATACATAACCTTTTCTTTCGGTTAATTGTGTTTTTCTTAAGAATTATGCTATTCAACATATAAAGAAACGTAACTAAATGTTCAGTGTGCACGAGAGACACGAAAGCCTTGCACAGAAGTCGTATTCTTTTTGATGGTATTAATTTGAAAGGTAAGTTAAAATGGTATCGTTTTTTAACAGCTCAATTTGTGTTGTTTTTGTAATGTTAGTGCGTACTGTCAAAACTGTTTCCACTTGACTGAAAACTGAAAACGTTTATACACTTTATTAAAATACTTAGAGTAGCCTACATGAGATAACACCATTGACATACATTGATAAAGGTGAGTATGCTCATGATCATTCTGTCAGTCAACCAAGCCGTTGTCTTCATGCCGTCCAGAAGCAAATTGGGGTATAAGGGCTTCATATGGTCCCAGTTCGGCCCATGTCTCCAAAGTCCCAAATTGAAGGCGACTCAGCAAAGCATGAACGTTTGAAGTTTCCATAAATTGAATTGTACTATCAACCATAATATGATCAGGGTATCTTCATGACAATGTAACAAAAGCATCGCACTCAATGGATAGATATTGCATTAGAAGGAGGCGTATTGTCCTGTCACATTTCTGGACTGCCTCATGTACTGAAGTGACTGTCATCATTTTATTGCTCTCACTAAATGACACATATTTAACATACCTACTCTATTTGGAAGATTGTCCAATTTCATCAAATAATTTTTATAGCGTTCACGCATTACTGTAACATTAAAAGGTATTTCGTCCCAAAGTCAATACTATCCTCTAGTGGTAGAGCGTGTGAAGGCCCACTTACCAACTGAATGGGAATAGATTGACATGATGAGGGTTTAAAATATATCACATTTTGAACTGTCTTGAACTGGGTATCATATTTTATGAGGGTATTATTTTGGCTAAATTCATTTACATAAAACATATTTTTTGACGTTTTACAGACGCTCTTATCCAGAGCGACTTACAGGAGCAATTAGGGTTATGTGCCTTGCTCAAGGGTACATCGACAGATTTTTCACCTAGTCGGCTCGGGGATTAGAACCAGCGACCTTATGCTGGCACAACGCACAACGCTCTTAACCACTAAGCTACCTGCCGCCCATATGTATGATTGTTTGAAAACTATAGTTATAACAGTGTGATAACAGTGTATTGTGTAGGTTTTAGGCCTGTAAAATGTCAGGCTATAATGTTTGGTATAGACTATGAGTAAAATAAAATAAATAAATAGCGGAACAATATTGCAAAATCTAAACTGCGCAATATAGCCCTACTTGTTGGATAATGATTTTGGGAAACCCTACAACCTCCTTCGGATGTCTTCATCCCATAACAGTGCTAGCACGAATCAGCATCATCTTCCACTTGCAACTCTCAAACAAAAAAGCGGGCAGTCACTCAGATAGGCCTACTGAATCGCCTGAGTTGCCTAGCGAGCACCGGCGTCATCCGCACCCCTCTGGTTAAGCGAATGCTTCTCCGCGGCTTCGCGCCTCCCGGTCCATCCCGGTGTAGGGAAGTGTGCGTGTGCACATGGTGGTGAGGTGCTGGTAACAGATGGTTGGTTAGAAGCGCGCGGTTTAATCTGCCAGAGAAGAGGCTTTAACAAGCGCGCGTGGGAACGGATTATCCCCCACGTGCGACGCATGCATTGCACGGGCAACTGCCCTTTGTCTGTGTGCCAGTCAGAAGAAAAATGATGGTTTGTCTCTATAACTCAATAACTCCCAAATTCATCTTGCCTGCCTTGACAATGACCATGGAGTAGGCTTATTGTAAACCATTGGATTGAATGAAATACCATAGGTCTATTGCAAACCCATAGGCTATGGCTATTGATTGAATAAGTAATTAATCAGTCATTAATTAGATGCCAATTCCCTCCTCATTCCATAACTGGACAATAGTGGCTTCATGACTAGGCCCTAATGCGCACAGCCCCTTAATCTCCAACTAAAGGCCATTCAAAGTCAGTTTAGTTTATTAACACTAGAAAGGCCTTGAGGGATCCTACTTTGAGCCAATGAGCAGTTATTTTGACAGCAAAATAACAGTCTAATAAATAAATGTAATACACTATTGCAAAAATAATGATTTGGTTGTGTTTATGAAGGCTTGGGTGACATTAGAATATGTTACCCAATAAAACAAAATCAAAGAGCATTTTCATGAGTTTATGTTAGTGTAGGCTATCTCTGGTGCACATGGAACAGTTATTCTTGGAAAATGTGATATTTTCTACTAGAGCTCATTTCTTCAATTTTGAGAGTTATTTGTCAAGGGTAAGTGTTTTGGAAACATCAGAATCTGCTCTTTCTGATACTATACAGAAGTCAAAAGGTCTTACCTGCATGTAACTCTGTAGGAGCCTCAGAGGATTTGAAAAAGTCCCTTTTTGGTGCTCTGTTTACATTTACATTTACATTTACGTCATTTAGCAGACGCTCTTATCCAGAGCGACTTACAGTTAGTGAATGTTTCCCTGCCTTTGTGTCAATTCCAACTAAACTGCACTGTCTCTTCATATTCAATTTGACAATTGACAATATTGTCACCCATCAGTCAATTTAATATTGTCTTTAGGCTAACTCTATTATTATATTTGTGAAATTATTTTCAATATAGTTTAGGTGTAGTTTAGATGGGCTATCATCAGCTGCACAGGCTGACTGCTGGGGTGAATGACTGGCGGTGAATGAGGGGAAGAAATAAATACATGTCCTTTTGAAACTGCATATAACACAAATTCTGTTTCTGATATCGAAATTCTAAAAACATATGTATGTGATAAATATACTTATTTAGGAAAAGTCAAGGACGGAGGGCGACATTAGTTTAAAAATGGCAGAGATATTTAAATGTTATTAATATGCAGTCAAAATGACTGCCTCAACGCTTAGTGTTAAATCCACTATTGTTGTCTCTCATCATGTGTAGGACACATCATCTGACTGCTGTATTATAGATAATTCATATAGAAAATGTCGTCCATTTAGAATAAATTATAGGCTAAACTCTATACATGTGATTAGAACGTGGTAACTGATAAAGAGTATTTCAAATGGCCCTTGGGACATTTGATGGCCCCCCCCGCTGCGGAGACAGGGGCGCGTGACTGCACTAACAAAAGGAACAAAGACCGCCTGCGCTCGCAGAGGGATCCGGATCCAAGGAATTCAACAGCGGGAGGTGACGTCAGAATTCCGTATATTGCAGTGTTGTCGCTTTCAAAAACGTTGGATATGGGGTAGAACATTTAACCCTGTTCCGAACTTTAGTTTTCGCATTTTCGGTGACTTTTTATTTCGCGAAATACTTTTGTATTAACTTCGCGAGAGAGACATTGAGCAGTGATAGCATGCCAAATTCGTTGTTTTGTTTTTCTTGAGGATTTACGGAATTTCTCCTCGCTAACAACAGGGGAAGTGCCCCCTGTCCTTTGTCTGTCACGGGTGTTTTTAAAGTATTCGACATGGACATTTACGGATACAATGGTGTTTTTCTGGTCAAAAGACTGTTTAATAATGCCGTTTTTGAGATTTCGAACATGTCAGACATTACGAAGGCGAACCCTCACGGATGCGATAACGGGGCTTTGACAAACAGATTCGGAGTCTTGATTCAAGGGTTGCTGGCGATAGTCGCCTTCAGCACATTGATGCGTGAGTATTTTTCAGAAGAGAACGTAACAATGTTTCAAGGGCTGAGCAGTATAATTGTATAGGCTAACTTATTGTTTCTTAATAGCAGATCATGTTTAAAATAAAATACTTAGAAATCACTTTTAATGGGAAAATCAAGGGTCTACTCAGTCAAGCACTGCACTGGTATCCACTGCAGCTACACTCTCCGTCTGTGAACACGTGGCAGTTTGTTTATGCTATTTGACGTTTCTATCCGATAGGCTGCTGTTGCACATTATAAGGCTGATAATAAATATATAATAATATTATAATTCCATTTTCAATAGCCTATTATAATAATGTTTCTCAAATCCTTTTATGTGCTAGGTTTAAAATATTCAACGCCACACGTATCCATATATCATCAGTGGCCCATCAACACAAATGTAAACGACCTCGAATGTATCCTATAACTATTAGACTATTGTAGATTTATAAACTATCCTTAAACTATAAACTACTTGTAAACCATCTATAAACCCGTTTAATTTGTATTATTCTTATTATTGAAATATGCCTCTTCAAGACAGGGGTGAACGTTTATAGTCTATAATGGAAAAAAACCGTTTTGAGAGGGGGGTCATAAAATCATACAGAATACATCCATGCCTTTTGAATATAAGAGAATAGGCTCTCAGTCTATATCTCTATCTACAGTGTGATTACATGTTGTAGTCATGTCCTTTACAACAGAGTGATTTATGACAGAATGGGGTCAAACTCTAAAGGTGAGTGGAGGAACAATGAGCTTTGAACTCCTCACAGTTACTTATTAGTAAGAAGATCAATATTTAGCCAGCAGTGTGTATGTGCAGCCCACCCTGTGTGTGTGTGTGTGTGTGCATGTAAGTGCTGCCTCACCCAGAGTACCCAAGTCTGTTAATGTACTGCTGAAAATCAAGGGTTTACTGGTATGCACTGCAGAGCTACGCTGTCCATCTCAAAGCCTCTCCTCTGCTTGCCAAGATGCGTCCATTTTTGTTTAGAGCCCTCTTCCTCTTGGCTATTTTGGTGACTTCCTCCCATTGACAGACCACTGGCCTGACCTTTTGCGTGCCACAGCTCTTGGATACAGTTGCTATCATTTTATACCAGGCACCAATCCTGTCTTTGCATTCTAACCTTCAGATAGTTTTTTGGTGATAATGAGTCAAACTGCAGCCACAACATGATGTTGGTATGTGGACAGTCACAGAGTCAGACCTTGTGTTAGATGGGGAGAGAGGAACAGTGGGTTCCTGTTAGTCACGTACAGCCCTGAGATACCAGTGACCTGATGGGGATGGCTGGACTGAGGGAGCATGTGTCTGACTGTGCCATTCTTTATCCATCTCTCCTGTAGCCACAGAGGACATGTACGCTCACAAATATATTATTTTTCACTCTTCTATGACTGTCTCTGTCTCTCTCTCTATCTACAGTGAAGAGGTTCCGGGAGCCTGTAGGGATCAGAAGACCATGGAGGATCTGGTAAGAGATCAGTGTTTTTACTTCTATTTCTTATCAGTCTGTATCAAACCCCAGGGAAGAACAGGAGACCATCGGTTGATCACATGGCTGAGGATCATAGATTCTATTAGATTTAGAGATGTTAATACAAAAAGTTAATGTTTGTTGTTTGACTCTTTTATATTTGGCTATTGCAAGTCATAAAGCTAACCATGGTGATGACCATCTGTCATTTCACCCCATCTCTACAGGTTTTACGACACATCCAAGCAGGCCATTGGCGCTCTCTTCATCCACTTCGCCAACATCTTCCTCTCCAACCTCACAGAAATGGACCCTTGTTCCCTGTGAGTTCATAGCTGTGATTGGACAGGCTGGCAGAAACCAGCTGCCAATCTAAAGCCTCAACCAATCATTATGATAAATAAATAAGATGTTCTATTGTCACATACAGCAGATAGGTGCAGTGAAATTTGTTGTTTTACATGGTCAGCCATAGTAGTATGGTGCCCTATAGCAAATTAGGTGTTAAGTGCCTTGCTCAAGGACACATTGACAGATTTTTCACCTTGTCGGCTCGGGTATTCAAACCACTGACCTTTCGGTTACTGGTCCAACGCTCTAACCGCTAGGCTACCAGCTGCCCCATGTCAAATCACTGACTCACTTCCTGGTGGGTTTCCACAGGTATCTGATGAACTTCCTGCTCGATGCCACGCTAGGCATGCTGGTCATCTGGGCGGGGGTCAAGGTTGTCTCCAGGATCGTGGAGTACAAGCAGTTCACACTGCTCACCTTTGGAGAATACGGTGAGTCTCCTAGACATCTGTTTAGTTAAGGTCGTGTCAAATGTTTGGATGTTGGCCAAAGCATAGACCACTACTGTTCTGTGACTGTGTCATTGGAGAGGGTTGTGCCAAGTAATTGTCAGAATATTTCAGGAAGGTTGACACTTCTTCCTTTCACCAATGGAGGCCGCTGTAGGCTCATGGGAATATTACATGAAAAACAATATTGCATGTATCTGTGCATGGTTCTGTTTCATGATGGTTTTTCCATTGATTATTATGATCCACCGGATTGTAAATGCAGCTGTGCCATGACCACTGGCCAAATGTTTTAGTGGGCTTTAGTTTCCATCCGATCTGTATCACTCTCTTTGTGTGGTGACCTTTCCCCCAAAAGCCTGCTACAAATACTGTCCCTCTGTCATAACTATTGGTCCAGAAAACTAAACAAAAAGTACAACATTTAGCTGTTTGTATAGAGTTAGTTGTAAACCCATTCTGTCCCTCTTAAAGAGCTGAACAACAACAACATGCAATCATGGCAGGCTTTCTTTTGCCTTCTTCAGCACTGTTTCTCTCCTATACCTTTCTCTCCACTGTCTCACTTATCTCTCTCTCTCTCTCTCTCTCTCTCTCTCTCTCTCTCTCTCTCTCTCTCTCTCTCTCTCTCTCTCTCTCTCTCTCTCTCTCTCTCTCTCTCTCTCTCTCTCTCTCTCTCTCTCTCTCTCTCTCTCTCTCTCTCGTCTGTCTCTGCTGTGTTCCCAGGTGTAGAGTGTTTGTTAATGACAGAGAAATGTCGCTGTCTGTGTACACTGAAATGACAGAGAGATGCAAATAGTACACTTGGGACATGTTTAGACCAGCACACTGAGTTTGTGGGTGCTTGTGTGTGTGTGTGAATGCCTCTATGCGGTCAATGTGTAGTTGTGGCAGTCTAGTGTCCTCCTCTCTATTGCTGATCTGAGTCGGTTGGTCTGTGTATGTGGTTGCAGTGTGGTCACTGTACGGTCATTAAATGGTCATTAAGTAATGGTGTGTTCTGTCTCACCAGGTGACCCTCCCCAGGCTGCAGCATGGCTCGGTCAGTGTGGGGTCTACCTTCTCATCATGGTCCTGGAGAAGAGTGTGGTTAGCTTGGTGCTGCTCATCCCTGGATGGACCAACGTGAGTAGCTCTACAGTACCCACAACCACCTGCTCCAGAGACATGGGCTAACCATGAGAGAATTGAGAGAATCTACCCACTCAAGGGAGAGAGCGGAAGTGTCAATCATGTTCTTTCTTCTCTGTTCTGTGTTTGAAATCTCTGGTGGCAATTTAAAGTCAACAAAAAGTCAAGCCTGAAAGACAAAGGGAGGATAAAAGCTTATGGAGGGAACAAAGAGAAAGAGTTGTCCTTTGAACAGAATGGGAACATTGACCTTCAGCCAACTGAATATCATCCGTCCTCTGGGACTATGGTCTTCAAACTATTTGTTTGGTTGGTTATTTGTTTGAGGCTGTGGACATCCTGCTCAAACCTTCTTTGTGTTTTAGGGCCATTGTTGTTCTGTTCACTGCTCCTCTCTTGATGAGTGGTGTTTTCTTTTTTTTCACTACACATATTTATTTGGGACGCTGGGGCTTTATCTCAGGGGGGGGAGTGGGTGGCAGCCCAAACTGTCATTAACATAGCCCATCCCAGTAAAATTGAATACTTAGAGCTTTTATTTCTCCCTCTCTCTCTCTCTCTCTCTCTCTCTCTCTCTCTCTCTCTCTCTCTAACATGGTGAATACCACGTAATCATCACGTTAGCTCCAATCTCACGCATATTACACAGTAGAGAGCCAAAGAGATGCTCATTCTATTATTGTGGAAAATATTGACGATCGAAATGTCATTGAATGACAGTCGCTTGTGTAACGCGTCTGTTATTTTGCCCTGCCCAAATTAAACGTGTGTGTGTATGTGTGCGTTATGACCCTGTCTTTCTCTGTGCGCTGCTGTTCCAGCTGCAGTCTGTGTTGCTGGACTACATCCCTAACCCTCAGGTGGAGCTTGTGTTGGTCATGCTTATCGTGCCCTTCATTGTCAATGTGAGTCTCACCTTCGGTCTCAACCAGCTTGCACTAACACTCTGCATAATCTTGTGTATACAGTGCATTCAGAAAGGATTCAGACCCCTTGACTTTTTCCACATTGTTACGTTACAGCCTTATTCTAAAATGGATTAAATTGTTTGTTTTTTCACTCATCAGTCTAAACACAATACCTCATAATGACAAAGCAAAAACAGGTTTTTAGACATTTTTGTTAATAACAAATAAAAAAAAGGAAATATCACATCCTATATACACTACCAGTCAAAAGTTTGGACACACCTACTCATTCAAGATTTTTTCTTTATTTTTACTATTTTCTACATTGTAGAATAATAGTGAAGACATCAAAACCATGAAATAACACATATGGAATCATGTAGTAACCAAAGAAGTGTTAAACAAATCAAAATATATTTGAGATTTGAGATTCTTCAAATAGCCACCCTTTGCCTTGATGACAGCTTTGCACACTCTTGGCATTCTCTCAACCAGCTTTAAGAGGTAGTCACCTAAAATGCATTTCAATTAACAGGTGTGCCTTCTTAAAAGTTAATTTGTGGAATTTCTTTCCTTCTTAATGCGTTTGAGCCAATCAGTTGTGTTGTGGCAAGGTAGGGGGGGTATACAGAAGATAGCCCTATTTGGTAAAAGACCGAGTCCATATTATGGCAAGAACAGCTCAAATAAGCAAAGAGAAACGACAGTCCATCATTACTTTAAGACATGAAGGTCAGTCAATATTGAACATTTCAAGCACTTTCAAAGTTTCTTCAAGTGCAGTCGCAAAAACCATCAAGCGCTATGATGAAACTGGCTCTCATGAGGACTGCCACAGGAATGGAAGACCCAGAGTTACCTCTGCTGCAGAGGATAAGTTCATTAGAGTTACCAGCCTCAGAAATTGCAGCCCAAATAAATACTTCACAGTGTTCAAGTAACAGACACATCTCAACATCAACTGTTCAGAGGAGACTGTGTGAATCAGGCCTTCATGGCCAAATTGCTGCAAAGAAACCACTACTAAAGGACACCAATAAGAAGAAGAGACTTGCTTGGGCCAAGAAACACAAGCAATGGACATTAGACCGGTGGACGTGTCCTTTGGTCTGGAGTCCAAATGGGAGATTTTTGGTTCCAACCACCGTGTCTTTGTGAGACGCGGTGTGGGTGAACGGATGATCTCTGCATGTGTATTTCCCACCGTAAAGCATGGAGGAGGAGGTGTTATGGTGTGGGGGTGCTTTGCTGGTGACACTGTCTGTGATTTATTTAGAATTCAAGGCACACTTAACCAGCATTGCTACCACAGCATTCTGCAGCGATACGCCATCCCATCTGATTTGGGCTTAGTGGAACTATCATTTGTTTTTCAACAGGACAATGACCCAACACACCTCCAGGCTGTGTAAGGGCTATTTTACCAAGAAGGAGAGTGATGCAGTGCTGCATCAACCCAATTGAGATGGTTTGGGATGAGTCGGACTGCAGAGTGAAGGAAAAGCAGCCAATGTGCTCAGCATATGTGGGAACTCTTTCAAGACTGTTGGAAAAGCATTCCAGGTGAAGCTGGTTGAGAGAATGCCAAGAGTGTGCAAAGCTGTCATCAAGGCAAAGGGTGGCTATTTGAAGAATCTCAAATATAAAATATATTTAGATTTGTTTAACAATTTTTTGGTTACTACATGATTCCATATGTGTTATTTCATAGTTTTGATGTCTTCACTATTATCCTACAATGTACAAAATAGTCAAAATAAAGAAAAACCCTTGAATGAGTAGGTGTGCCCAAACTTTTTTGACTGGTACTGTAAGTATTCAGACCCTTTACTCAGTACTTTGTTGAAGCACCATTGGCAGCGATTACAGCCTTGAGTATTATTAGGTATGACGCTACAAGCTTGGCACACCTGTATTTGGGGAGTTTCTCCCATTCATCTCTGCAAATCCTCTCAAGCTCTGTCAGGTTGGATGGGGAGCGTCGCAGCACAGCTATTTTCAGGTCTCTCGAGATGTTCGATTTGGTTCAAGTCCGGGCTGGCTGGGCCACTCGAGGACATTTAGAGACTTGTCCCGAAGCCACTCCTGTGTTGTCTTGGCTGAGTGCTTAGGGTCGTTGTCCTGTTGGAAGGTGAACCTTCGCCCCCAGTCTGAGGTCCTGAGCGCTCTGGAGCAGGTATTCATCAAGGATCTCTCTGTACTTTGCTCCGTTCATCTTTCCCGCGATCCTGACTAGTCTCCCAGTCCCTGCCACTGAAAAACATCCCCACAGCATGATGCTGCCACCAACATGCTTCACCGTAGGGATGGTGCCAGGTTTCCTCCAGACGTGACGCTTGGCATTCAGGCCAAAGAGTTCAATCTTGGTGTCATCAGACCTGAAAATCTTGTTTCGCATGGTCTGAGAGTCCTTTAGCTGCCTTTTTGGCAAACTCCAAGTGGGCTGTCATGTGCCTTTTCCTGAGGAATGGCTTCCGTCTGGCCAATCTACCATAAAGGCCTGATTGGTGGAGTGCTGCAGAGATGGTTGTCCTTCTGGAAGGTTCTCCCATGTCCACAGAGGAACTCTAGAGCTCTGTCAGAGTGACCATCGGGTTCTTGGTCACCTCCCTGACCAAGGCCCTTCTCCCCGATTGCTCAGTTTGGCCGGGCGGCCAGCTCTAGGAAGGGTCTTGGTAGTTCCAAACTTCTTCCATTGAAGAATGATGGAGGCCATTGTGTTCTTGGGGACCTTCAATGCTGCAGACATTTTTTGGTACCCTTCCCCAGATCTGTGCCTCGACACAATCCTGTCTCGGAGCTTTACGGACAATTCCTTCGACCTCATGACTTGGTTTTTGCTTTGACATGCACTGTCAACTGTGGGACCTTATATAGACAGGTGTGTTCCTTTCCACAGGTGGACTCCAATTAAGTTGTAGAAACATCTCAAGGATGATCAATGGAAACAGGATGCACCTGAGCTCAATTTCGAGTCTCATAGCAAAGGGTATGAATTCTTACGTAAATAAGGTATTTCTGTTTTTTATTTTTATCAAAGGTGCAAAAATGTCTAAAAACCTGTTTTTGCTTTGTCATTATGGTGTATTGTGTGTAGATTGATGAGAAAAATAAAAACTATTTAATCAATTTTAGAATAAGGCTGTAACGTAACAAAATGTGTAAAAAGTCAAGGGCTCTGAATACTTTCCGAATGCACTGTATGTCACAGGAGGCTGCTGAGGGGAGGACGGCTCATAATAATGGCTGGAATGGAGTAAATGGAATGGAATCAACCAAATGTAACCACGTGTTTTATGAGTCTGATACAATTCCATTTCAGCCATTACTATGAGTCATCCTCCCTAATTAAGGTACCACCAACATCCTGTGGTATATGTAGTATCCCAGATAGTGCATAAAGCTTGTATTTTTGGATAGAAAACATGCATAAAGTTTACAGAATGCAGTATGTAGGCTTACTAGGCTACAGTGATAGTACGTACATGGCCATTCTGCGTCCACCACTGCACCAGTTGTACTGACTGAGTTTGTTCTCTGTGTGACCCTCTGTAGTCCATCATGTTCTGGGTGGTGGACAGTCTGATGATGAGGAAGTACAAGACGCTGAAGAGCCTGGACGAGTCCTGCGACTCCTCGGCCAAGGTCGACTCCACGGCGCCGTGGGTTACCGGCGACGAGTCACGGGTGAGAGTCTATCAGTTAACTAGGGCTGTCCCCGACTAAAAAAAATCTTGTTAGACCGAAAGTCGTCAGTTCTTTTGACCAATCGATTGGTCAAAATTTTAAAACCACCATCCTCCTCCCGCTCCTACTGGCTTTCGCAGATTCTGCCATTACTCTCCTGAAGTTGCCGGTAATAGGCTACACAAGGAGTCGGCAAACTTTCTCATGTGGAATGCCAATTTATCTTACCATTTTTACCGATCTGCGTGCCAGTTATGGTTTTCATATGCACATTTTCGTGGCGCAGTTTCATTTATAAAACGTCGTCCTATCTCAAAATCATTGTCATGTGGTTAATCAAATTCTATCCAAATCTAAATGAAAATGATACAAACCTAAAAAGTAACTTCTATTGCCATTGCCAACTATGTAAAAATAGCCTATAAAGCCAACAAATAAAAACATTGCTGCCTGCAGGTAGAAAATATCCTGATAAAAAGAAATCTCCTATAAATCACATTGACTACGCATGGCCTGTCTGCAACGAACTTGAAACGTATCAACTATTAACTTGGGTCTGGCCTGAAGCTCCTTGCAACATTGTATAAAATATTCTGGGTCCTCAGAGTTTCCCGTGCCAGTGAGCTCGAGACAGACACAGCTGTAGGCTATTTGCGTAAGGGATAAGAATTAATCAGGTTGGCCTATTTTATGATGTTTCCACTGGATCTGAGCATTACATTTTTCTCTTTCACGCTGAGTGGTTATCGAAAGGGAGAGAGCTGGAAAGATTTTTCAAATACATTGAGGAACTATTGTAATTCTCAATGGATGTAAAAACAGACTTTGTTTGCTGTCTGTTTGAGGTGAAGAAAACATTACTTTGAGAAGCTCTACAGCGCATTAGTGATGGTGCATTAAGCCAATCAGAAATACTATCAGATCCCCAAATGGGCACATTTATATACCTACATTTGCACGCAGGCCAGGTAGCCTATAGGCCTACTTCTATGCGTAATCAGGTGCGCGTCCTTACTCAACATTGACAGGAGTGCTCCAAACAAAAGACAATGACTAAATTGACAAAACTCGTAAATGGAATGAACTAAACCAAAATGTGTAGCACTCTGCAAACAATGTGTTCACTCCAACAATGAGAATGGTAAAAGACTGAAATAATAATATATTGAATGCATTACCGTAACTAAACAAATATTGTAGATTGGAAATTATAGGAATTAACGGTAAATGTACTACTGGTGATATACGTATGTAATGGGGAATTGATAGAAACTAACAGTCAAACGCAAACAGTTCACACAATGAACGATGAATGTGCACAAATTGGCGGGAGAGAGCCCATTCTGGAGAGAGACGTGCATTGTGCAGCCACACTCCCCTTCTTCTTGGACTGTGCCATCCCCGCGGTTTCCGCAATGGATTAGTTCACTGAGATGGGCGCGAATTAGAAAGGTGTCTCGTGTGCCATAAAAATATACTTTTGTATACCTAGTGTATATACAGTATATATGTGGACACCCCTTCAAATTAGTCTATTCGTCTATTTCAGCCATACCCGTTGCTGACTGGTGTATAAAATCGAGCACACAGCCATGCAATCACCATAGACAAACATTGGCAGTATAATGGCCTTACTGAAGAACTCAGTGACTTTCAACGTGGCACCGTCATAGGATGCCACCTTTCCAACAAGTCAGTTCGTCAAATTTCTGCCTTGCTAGAGCTGCCTCGGTCAACTGTAAGTGCTGTTATTAAACGTCTAGGAGCAACAACGGCTCAGCCGCGAAGTGGTAAGCCACACAAACTCACAGAGCGGGACTGGCGAGTGCTGAAGCGCGTAAAAACCGTCTGTCCTCAATTGCAACACTCACTACCGAGTTCCAAACTGCCTCTGGAAGCAACGTCAGCACAATAACTGTTTGTCGGGAGCTTCATGAAATGGGTTTCCATGGCAGAGCAGCCGCACACAAGCCCAAGATCACCATGCGCAATGCCAAGCGGCTGTCGGCTGGAGTGGTGTAAAGCTCGCCGTCATTGAACTCCATCTGGCAGTCCGACGGACAAATCTGGGTTTGGCGGATGCCAGGAGAACACTACCTGCCCCAATGCATAGTGCCAACTGTAAAGTTTGGTGGAGGAGGAATGATGGTCTGGGCCTGTTTTTCATGGTTCGGTCTAGGCCCCTTAGTTCCAGTGAAGGGAAATCTTAACGCTACAGCATACAATTATATTCTAGACGACTTTGTGCTTCCAACTTTGTGGCAACAGTTTAGGGAAGACCCTATCCTGTTTCAGCATGACAATGCCCCCATGCACAAAGCGAGGTCCATATAGAAATGGTTTGTCGAGATCGTTGTGGAAGAACTTGACTGGCCTACACAGAGCCCTGATCTCAACCACATCGAACACCTTTGGGATTAATTGGAACGCTGACTGCTAGCCAGGCCTAATCGCGCAACATCACTGCCTGACCTCAATAATGCTCTTGAGGCTGAACGGAAGCAAGTACCCTGCAGCAATGTTCCAACATCTAGTGGAAAGCCTTTCCAGAAGAGTGGAGGCTGTTATAGCAGCAAAGAGGGGACCAAATCCATATTAATTCCCATGATTTTGGAATAAGATGTTTGACTAGCAGGTGTCCACATACCTTTGGTCATGTAGTGCATATTTGCTACTGCTCAACTAAAAGATCTGTTGGTCTATTTGAGTGGCTGTGAAATCATGTACTGTATATTGAGGTAGTGAGACTGTCGACAGAAGCCTTCTGTGTTGGGGAATCAGAGAGAATTGACCTCCTACACAGTAGTCAATGTGTTACTGTAAACCCTCCTCTCTCTCGATCTGTCCTCTCTCTCTGTCCTCTCTCCCTCTTTCTCACACTCTCTCTGGAGTCACAATGATTATGACAGGCTGGCAGTGTTGCTCTCTCTCTCCCTCTCTCCCTCCTCGTCCCTGGTACTCTGCCAAGCAGCAACAAATCATCCCTTCATCCCGGGAATAAAAGTGACATTTGGGATTCATTTCCATTCAGTGATGTTATGGAAAGCAGAGTGGAGGAAGGGGAGAAAGAGGGAGAGAACTATGTCAATGGGAGAGAGGAGGGCATTGATTAGGAAGAACTGTTGGCGTTTGGTTGGTCAGTAGTCGTGTGTGCAATGAGTTTCATTTCAGTTCCCGACATGGTCTGTAGGATAGTGTTGGGGAATGATTTCATCCATATGTTTAATTTGGTGGTCAGCTGTGGCCATATGGTGTTCAAAGTATGCTGTTTACTTGTATCATAACAAAATGTTTGGCTGTTTATTTTAGAGCTGTTGTTAGTTATGGCTTTTATGGTGTATCCTGTCAAACTGACTAGTTAACGCCCTAACATCTCCAACCTGTTTCCCTATGGGATGAAACACACAGACATACCATCGATAGTCTGTCTTCTTAGTCTGAGTGTAACTGAATGAAGATGATTTATTTGGGATTGGCCTCATGTTGGTGAGAGAGGAAGGCTGGGCAAGCCCCCTTTCTACCTCTGCTTCTTCCATTACAGTAATCTCATCCAATATGTCTGCATTGCGCACACACACTCACACACGTGCATGCACACACTACCATAATCTCGTCCAAGATGTCTCTGTGGGTTTATTATGCCATAAAGGCCTTTCCATAAACCGTATGAAGTTCTGGAATTCTGCTGTGTTGGGATTATATGTGATGGAGCAGTGGTCTGGATGATATTCCGGAAAATAAAGTGGGATTTTATAACCTTGGAGTGGGAATCACAGGGAATAATATCAGAACACCTGGCCTGGACACATCAGCTCATCTTGGCAGACAGCTGCTCACATGTCTGTTTGACGGTGTTTATATGTTTGTGTCTGTTCCGTGACGTGTTTCTCTCTCATATCCAGGTCCTGTTGACGACCGAGACAGACACGGAGGAGGAGCAAGAGGAGGATAGGTCAACAATGGTCAGAGGACGGTCCCACTCTAGCCTCCCAGGAGTGGGCATTAATACCTAGCTGGGTGGAGGTGTAGCTCTGGTACCCTCCTCTACAAGACCCTGACACACATGCAGACACGCACACAAGGATGTGTGGATGTACACCCCTTCCAGATCACACAGATTTGCGGTTGACAATTGACAGTTGTCATTTGACATGGAGAGTCTGTCACTGGTTTTAAATTTCTACACATCCCAATGATGTCTTTAATGATGACTTGACTGTTATGATGATGTTGAATGATATATGAACAGTGCTTTATTATGAAAAAAGTCCTCCACCCTTGCAGTCCCTGTTTACCGAAACAACAAGCTTGGGGGTGGCTATAAAGTGTCTCTTGATGGAGATAATTAGAGAGCACAGTGGGAGCATGAGGGAACAAGACAGCGATGATGAAAGGAGAGAGAGAGTAAATCTGTCTCACGGGGGGGATTTTGTGATCTCCAAAGAGCTCTTTATGACATCAACTTCCAAAGAGTAGCGGTTTTCCTTCATCATCAAACAGATAACTGCTTAGTTCAAACCTCTACATACAGCATATAATGGTCTGTAATTAAATACTTTAAGTCTGCTTTGGACCTGTAGTATCAGTAGAATCCACTACTAGTGTCCTTGTCTCCTTTCAATCCTATTGATTTCACCTATCACGTCCAGTCAGATCAGTTGTCAGATTATTGTAACTCAGCCGGAGGAGTTGGACCATAAAGTTGGAGATGTTTCATCTCTGAGTTGGACTGTAATAGTCTGGTCTGGAACAGTTCTTCACACTGTCTCCAGAGGATGTTTAACAAGGTGGAAAATGGTGTTCTATGTAGAAAACGGACCAAATCATTTCATATTCCTCATGGATGTCCATTTGTGATTGATTTGGATTTATCCAAATATTTGCAATGTTTCTACTATGAACTAAAGAGCTTTGTGATATGGAGAGTGATTTTGAATGTTCTAATGTATTTATTTTCTTATTTATTTTGTCTATTTTACATATTTTACTGTATTCATATATTAGTTGTGGTTAAACCTGTGGTAATGACACGTAATGGGAGATTTCCAAGCAGTATCACAGAAATGATCACGGTCAATAGAGATTACTTGAGATACCAAAATAGTTTTCAGTTTACCATTGTATGTTCATTCTTATAGATCACATTTCTCAAACATTTCTCAATCATTGAGCTGTGAACACTAACATGAAAATACAGTACTGCTATTTTTGTATTCATTTAATTATGTTCCTGGAACCATTTAATGTCTTAGTGATGTGAAAGATTCTGATTGTGAGACTGTCATTTCACGTGACCTCAGACGTATAGAATAGCTACTGTGAGGACCTGTGCCACTACACATGTTTGCATTTTTGCTAATTATTCACTGTAAAAAAATGAACTCCCTTTTCATGCTCTGTTTATAATATATTTTTTAATTAGCGTTACTCCAATCCATCATGTATGTGTTTGTGGAATTGTGACTGAAATCTTTGGAATGTTTAATGGATATCCACTTGAAAGTGCCATGTTGCTATAATATATTCATGATTCATTTATGATACAAGAAAAATATGTCTTTGTCTTTTGTCTTAACTGTTGTCACTATTGTTCGTATTATCATAATTGAAATTAAAGTAAAATTGTATAATAAAATAAAAAAAGAAACACGAGTGTTGAATTCCTTTGGTGGCTCGGGTCGGCCCGGTGGCCCCTGAACTCGATGACAGACACCTGAGCGGGACGCGGAGGAGCACACCTGTGTGAGCGAGGCTAGCAGTCCTGTGACCCCAAACTGATGACAGGAGGGGTGAGGGGGGCAGTCATTGGGACAGGTAGAGGAGAGGGTTAGTTAGGGGGGTGTCTGGGGTGACCAGGTGTGATCCTAAGCAGAGTGTCGCCAAGTGACCTGGTTTACCTGTTTGGTCTCCCAGTGAGCACCTAAACCTAGCATGCAAAGAGCCTGCCTTCCTGCAATGACTAAGGCCGGGATTCAGTCCCATCACGAGTTGTAGACAATGAGGCTGTTAAACGCAATTTCTGAGTAAGCAGCCTTTACCGTGAATGCGAGCTCTGCGAACGTGAGGATGTTGCCTTTAAAGCCTGTGATGGGATTGACTCAGTAGGTTGGAGCACAGTACTATTTTTCGTATCGTCTGAGATCCCAAAAGATTGGAAAGCTGCCGATGGTCATCCCCCTCTTCAAAGGGGGTGACACTCTAGATCCAAACTGTTACAGACTTATCTCCATCCTGCCCTGCCTTTCGAAAGTATTTGAAAGCCAAGTTAACAAACAGATCACCGACCATTTCGAATCCCACTGTACCTTCTCCGCTATGCAATCTGGTTTCCGAGCTGGTCATGGGTGTACCTCAGCCACGCTCAAGGTCCTAAACGATATAATAACCGCAATCGATAATAGACAGTACTGTGCAGCCGTCTTCATTGACCTGGCCAAGGCTTTTGACTCTGTCAATCACCACATTCTTATTGGCAGACTAAATAGCCTTGGTTTCTCAAATGACTGCCTCGCCTGGTTCACCAACTACTTCTCAGATAGAGTTCAATGTGTCAAATCGGAGGGCCTGTTGTCTGGACCTCTGGCAGTCTCTATGGGGATGCCACAGGGTTCAATTCTCGGGCCGACTCTATTCTCTGTGTATATCAATGATGTTGCTCTTGCTGCTGGTGGCTCTCAGATCCACCTCTACGCAGACAACACCATTTTGTATACATCTGGCCCTTCATTGGACACTGTGTTAACAAACCACCAAACAAGCTTCAATGCCATACAACACTCCTTCCGTGGCCTCCAACTGCTCTTAAACGCTAGTAAAACTAAATGCATGCCTGCCTGCCTGACTAAAATCACTACTCTCGGCGGGTCTGACTTAGAATATGTGGACAACTACAAATACCTAGGTGTCTGGTTAGACCGTAAACTCTCCTTCTAGACTCACATTAAGCATCTCCAATCAAAAGTTAAATCTAGAATCGGCTTCCTATTTCGCAACAAAGCCTCCTTCACTCATGCTGCTAAACATGCCCTCGTAAAACTGACTATCATACCGATCCTTGACTTCGGCGATGTCATTTACAAAATAGCTTCCAACACTCTACTCAGCAAATTGGATGTAGTCTATCACAGTGCCATCCGTTTTGTCACCAAAGCCCCATATACTACCCACCATTGTGACCTGTACGCTCTCGTTGGCTGGCCCTCACTACATATTCGTCGCCAAACCCACTGGCTCCAGGTCATCTATAAATCACTTCTAGGCAAATATCTTAGCTCATTGGTCACCATAGCAACACTCACCCGTAGTATGCGTTCCAGCAGGTATATCTCTCTGGTCATCCCCAAAGCCAACACCTCCTTTGGTCGCCATTCCTTCCAGTTCTCTGCTGCAAATGACTGGAATGAACTGCAAAAATCTCTGAAGCTGGAGACACTTATCTCCCTCACTATCTTTAAGCATCAGTTGTCAGAGCAGCTTACCGATCACTGCACCTGTACACAGCCCAGCTGTAATTAGCCCACCCAACTACCTCATCCCCATATTGTTATTTACATTGTTATTTATTTTGCTAATTTGCACCCCAGTATCTCTATTTGCACATCATCTTCTGCACATATATCACTCCAGTGTTAATACTAAATTATAATTGTAATTATTTTGCACTATGGCCTATTTATTGCCTTACCTCCATAACTTACTACATTTGCACACACTGTATATAGATTTTCTATTGTGTTATTGACTGTACGTTTTGTTTATTCCATATGTAACTCTGTGTTGTTGTTGTTTTTACCGCACTGCTTTGCTTTATCTTGGCCAGGTCGCAGTTGTAAATGAGAACTTGTTCTCAACTGGCTTACCTGGTTAAATAAAGGTGAAATAAATAAAAAATAAATAAAATATTTTGGGGTGTGATTCCTGCTTGGGCCACATACAGTATATACTGTACTTTATACTAAATGTTTGTTAACAGTTAGTTACCTTGATAGAACTGTTTACTTTATAATGTTAGGATTATGTTTCAAGTGTTCTCACAGTTTAGAGCTGTTCAGAAAAATGTTGATCTTTACCAATAAATATAGTTGTTATGTTTTACTTCCTTTACACACAAAAGTTCATCCTGTTCAATAAAGGTTATATTTACAAGTACAAAATGACAGTATAAAACGATACACGTCAAACAATGTCCTTATTACATTTATATTAAAAATAGTACAAAAATATATTTGAGAGTATTGATGGTTGGTTATTCAGTGCAGGTGCTCCTGAGGAAAAACCTGAAGAAGAACAACAGGAAGTAGGCAACAGGAAGTGGGTTGAAAGACATGGTTGGAGGGGGATGGGTGGATGGGGTAGTAGCATAGAGAATGATAGAGGCCTCAAGTGGCCAAAAGGCCGTATTAGCATGGGCAGTGCCATTGAGGGCTTCCATGATTTTAATGTAGTCAACTGGGTGGGACTTCATTGGCTGATCCAACTTCATTGGCTGATCCCTCTTGGTGACCCAGTTGGAGTCATGTCCTACTGGGTCATCAGGCCGGATAAGCCAATCGTGAAGAAGAAAATGGACTACTTTAAAATGGAGATAGCCTCAATGGCGCTGCCCATGCTGTCACAGACGCTACATGGCACAGATACAAAGATGAGTCCTCTATCTATCTCTATGGGTAGTAGAGGAGTGTTTGGAGTGTGAGTATGTGGGGTAAAAGAAAGCTAATTTAGAGGTTTAGCGTCAGAGGGTATGAAAAGAGCTTGTTGGCTACTATAGCTGTACCTGGGCTATAGTTCCTGTGTGGGCGGCACAAGTTAATTGCTGGCTCCTTATTGGTCCTGTCTCAGGCTCCGTTACTTCCGTGGGGCCAATCGCCCGTGTCAAACAGGTGTGACACCACATAGTCCTCATACTGTCCGTCGATCAGCTTGGCTGCGTTGTTCCTGGCAAACCAGCAGTCCACGCTTTGACGTCCGCTGTAGATACGCCGGGTCTTCTGGACCACCGGCACTGAACGCCCTTTGACCTTCAGGATGGGTGACCGTGAAGACGCGCTGTTGTGTCCTGTTGTGGTGGCATTGCCAGGAAGCTCTGCCAGTCCCACATCCTCATACAGGAACTGACCTGGAAGTAGAATCACAGAGGGTGAGAATGGAACAGAACCACAGAGCTATAGGCAAACCAATGCTAGTTCTCACTAGGGCCTAATTCCATTTTGGCTCAAGCTCCTTCTCCCACCCTAGCACTAGTAGTTGCTGGGTGTCCACCCAATAGTCTGTGGCAGTTGTGGGACAGCCCCTTGCTGTTGGACCATTATACTAAGGCCTAGTTCCCTTTCGTCTCAAGACCCCTCCCCCCACTTCCCACCCTCCACTAGTAGTTTCTGATATCTACCCAGTAGTCCATGACAGTCATGTGACAGCCCTTTGCTGTTGGAGATGTAGAATCCCAGGTGGTCTCTCTGGTAGGGAGCAGGGTTCTTGTACTGATGCACCAGTATGACGAAACGAATGGTTCCTCCTATGGTTACGGTCACGTTGGACTTTCCCACTATCGCCACCGCCAGCCCGCCACTCTCCACGGAGACTGTGGTGTCGCAGGGCAGGACCAGGCGGTCGCGTCCATCCAGGATGACCTTCTTGGGAGTGACCTCGATGTAGGCACGTTTGGGTTGGTTCACCACAATGGTAATTGTGCTGAAGTATGTCCTCTGCTGTTTGTGGCTGCCTGCTGGCGCTGGGGCGCCTATCAGCTTACCGTTTACTGTCACACCTAGACTCACATACACACGCATGATCACACACACAAATAGACCACATGAATCATATGAAAACACGTAACCGAACATCTAACATAAAGTCAGAATCTCTTGAGAGGACATTCTTACCAGAGTGCTTGTGGTCAGACACCATTCTGAGAATGTGTCCTGGCTCTCCGTTGATGTTGAAACACACAGTCAGTTTACTGGGGGGGAACTCCACCACAAAGTGGGGATCGCCGTCCGCTGTGGTGTGAGAGAGACACTGGTATTTTAGGAATATGAGGAAATAGTACAGCTATGCATACCTGGATTCAAATACATTTGTTATTTAAATACTTTTTTTCTGTGTATTTGAGTATTTTCAAATACACAGCCAGAACAAGTACTTTTATTTGAGTATCTGAATGATTATTTGTAAAAACCAAATAGTCGGCCAAATTGTATTTGAAAGCATTTTCAAATTTTATTTTCAAATACCTGGGTTAAATGCATGGGAGTGTATTTGAGTCTGTGTATTTGAGTATCTGAATACTTGTTTGGAAATGTATTGAAAAGTAGTTGTAGGCAGTTAGTTGTAAGCAGTTAGTTGTTTCCTGTTAGTTGTCGGCAGTTAGTTGTAGCAAGTTTGTCTGTAGGCCAGTTAGGTTGTAGGCAGTTCGGTGTAGGCAGTTAGTTTGTAGGCAAGGTTAGTTGTTCGTGTTAGTTGTAGGAGCGTTAGTTTAGTTATTTCCTGTTACTTTGAGAGGGACTGTGAGAGCTACGTGAAGAGTTCAAGCGAGATGAGAGAGACAGCAGTAATGACAGGGTCTTGACCTGGTCTGTGATGTCATCTCATTGCTCTTTAGTTTACTGATCTCTCTCTAGTGTGTGTGTTTGTGTGGGATTGTGTGGGTGTATGGGGGGGCATGGCTAGGGGTTTGTTTTTAACGGGGCGTTCCCTTCGTTTTGCCCCCCCCAACCCCCTTTCCCCGGGGTCCCCCCCCCCCTTTTTTCCCCCCCCCCAAAAAACTTCAAAACCGGGGCTTCCCACCCCCCCCCCCTTTTTGGGGGCCCCCTTCCTTTTCCCCCCCCTTGGAGGGGGGGTCCCCCGGGGGGGGTGCCCGGGGTTGTAGGAAACCCCCCCTTTTTTTAAAAGGGCTTCCCCCCGGCCTCTTTTTTTTTAAATCCCTTTTTTTCGTGGGATTTTTTTCCCCCCCCCCTTTTTTTTTTTGTGTTTTTGGCCAAAGTTCGGCCCCCTGATTTGTTTTCTTTTTTCTCCAAAACTGGGGGGGTTTTGGGTTTTGGTAAAGGGAAAATTTTTTTTGGGGGGGGTTTTTGTTGGAAGTGCAGGTGCCTTTTAAATTGGGTTGTAAAGGGTTTGGGGGTTAGTTTTGGCGGGGGCGGTTGTTTTTAGTTTTTTTGGGGGGCTTTTTTTTTCCCTTCTTTAGGGGTAAGGGGGGGCGGAATAAGGGCCGTATGAAAGGGGGGGCCCGCCCGGGGGGCCCCATTGTCTTTGTTCGTTTCTTTTTGGTTTTGGTTTGTGGTGTTTGGGGGTTGGGGTGATGTGTTTTTTTGGGGGGGTTTTTTTGTTGGGGGGTTGTATTGGTTTTTTTTGGGTCTGTGTGTTAGTTTGTTGGGCCCCCCAAAACCAAAAAGTTTTGGGGGGTTTTTTGGGGGGCCCCCCCCAATTTTTCAAAAAACAAATTTTTTTTTTTTTTTTGGGGTCCAATATTTCCCCCCCTTTTTTTTTAACCGGTTTTGGTTGGATACCAAAATTAAAAAAACTGGGAAATCAAAACCCAAAACCCAAGTTCCCCGGGGGGGGGTGGAAAAAAAGCCCGGTGGCCCTTTTTTGGGGCCCCGGGCTTTTTTCCCCCCCCGTTTCCAAGGGGCTGGGGTTCTTTCGTCTTTGGGTCAGGGGGGGGGGGGTTTTTGTTCCCCTTAAACTAAAGGTTTTTCCCCATATTTTTTTTTGAATTTAAATTTTTTTTAAAAATTTTTCCCCCCCTGACTTTTAACACGGGGTTTTCCATAGGGGTATGAAAAGAAAAATGCTTTAACGGGTTTAAAGGGTGCCGGGGAACTTTTTTAGTTAGGGGTTTTCACTTACCCCGTGTGATAAGGGGGGGGGAAAAAATTTTTTAAAAAAAAACCCCCCCCCCCCCCTTGGGGGAAAAAATTTTGCAAAGGGGGTGGTTGAAAAGGGGGGCCATTTTGGGGTTTTTTTTTTTTCGCGGGGAAAAAAAATTTTAAAAGTCCCCCGGAATTTAGGCAAGGGGGGGGAAACAATTTGGGTGTTCAGGTCTTCCCCTCCTTTTTAAACCTTAAATTTCCCGGGTTTTGACTTAACCAACCCACTTTTTCAAGGCCGGGAAAAAATTGGGGTTTGAAATGAAAAAAAGGGGGCCCCCCCAAAGGAAGCCCGGGCCGGGAAACTTTCCCAAAAGGTTTCCCTCCCTAGCCCCCTCACAAATCCCCCAGGCCCCCCGGGGTTTAGTTTTGGGGGGAAAGGGTTGTTTCTGTTTTTTCCCCTCTTTTAACCCCCGAATTTGGGCCCAAAAAATTTCCCCTCTTCCCCGAAAGGGGACCAAGGGAAAGGAGGGAGAGATGGAAAGGGAGAAAAGGGGAGAAACCCCGGGGACGGGGGAATGGGAGAGAAAAAGGGGGGGGGGCCCAAGGAAGGGAAAAAACGGAGAAAAGGGGAAAGGGATCGGGGGCGAACTCCTTCTCGTTGATATCTCTCCCTATTTTTCCCCTTTTCCCGCTCCCTTTCTTCTCTCTCTCTTTTGTCCCCCCAAAAAAATTCCTTTGGCTTTGGGGCTCTGAACCCATGTTTTCCCAAAATTTTTCCGGGGCCACGCCCCCAAAGATCCACTCCCCCATCCCAGGTCCGGAAAAATGCTTGGGGCCAAGGGTTTTTGGGATGGGGGGAGATAAAAGCTCCCCACCGGGGGGGTTGTGGGAAGGGGAAAAGGGGCCCCCAACTTTTTGGGGGCGTGGAAAAGGTTAGGGCATTTTGGGGGGCCTTTGATCCACCGTTTTTGGGGCCCTTTGGGGAGAGGGGGAGAGGGGATTGGGTTGGGGGAGGTTTTAAAAAAGGGAATTTGGAAATCTGAATTAGGAAAAAAAAGTATATCATTGGGGGGGGTTTTGGGGGAAAAAAAATTTCTTACCGGAAAATGGGTTGGGGAAGGGGAAAAAAACCGAAAGGGGGTTTTTTGAAATCAGTTTAAAGCGCCAAAATTTTTGGGCAACCTATCAAAAAAGGGGTTTTTCTTTTTTTAATTTTTTTAATTTAGTAAATGAAGAATAAAAATGAAAACACAAAAATGAAAAAAAATGAAAATATAAAAAAATTTTAATTAATTTTAATAGATTCTTATGCCCGCTTTGAACATTTGGGATTTTTAACCCTTCAAGTTGGGGGGGAAATGTTTTAATTAAAAGGTGGCCTTCTTAAAAGTTAATTTGTGGATTTTTTTTTCCCTTCTTAATGCGTTTGAGCCAATCAGTTGTGTTGTGACAAGGTGGGGGGGGGGGGGGGGGTATACAGAAGATAGCCCTATTTGGAAAAAGACCAAGTCCATATTATGTCAAGAACAGCTCAAATAAGTCAAGAGAAACGACAGTCCATCATTACTTTAAGACATGAAGGTCAGTCAATATGGAAAATGTCAAGAACTTTGAACGTTTCTTCAGGTGCAGTCGCAAAAACCCTCAAGCACTATGATGAAACTGGCTCTCATGGGGACCACCATAGGAATGTAAGACCCATAGTTACCTCTGCTGCAGAGGATAAGTTCATTAGAGTTACCAGCCTCAGAAATTGCAGCCCAAATAAATGCTTCACAGAGTTCAAGTAACAGACACATCTCAACATCAACTGTTCAGAGGAGACTGTGTGAATCAGGCCTTCATGGTTGAATTGTTGCAAAGAAACCACTACTAAAGGACACCAATAAGAAGAAGAGACCTGTTTGGGCCAAGAAACACGAGCAATGGACAATAGACCGGTTGAAATTTGTCCTTTGGTCTGGAGTCTAAATTGGAGATTTTTGGTTCCAACTGCCGTGTCTTTGTGAGACGCGGTGTGGGTGAATGGATGACCTCTGCATGTATATTTCCCACCGAAAAGCATGGAGGAGGAGGTGTTGTGGTGTGGGGGTGCTTTGCTGGTGACATTGTCTGTGATTTATTTAGAATTCAAGGCACACTTAACCAGCATGGCTACCACAGCATTCCACAGCGATACGCCATCCCATCTGGTTTGGGCTTAGTGGAACTATCATTTGTTTTTCAACAGGACAATGACCCAACACACCTCCAGGCTGTGTAAGGGCTATTTTACCAAGAAGGAGAGTGATGGAGTGCTGCATCAGATGACCTGGCCTCCACAATCCCCTGACCTCAACCCAATTGAGATGGTTTGGGATGAGTCGGACTGCAGAGTGAAGGAAAAGCAGCCAAAAGGTGCTCAGCATATGTGGGAACTCCTTCAAGACTGTTGGAAAAGCATTCCGGGTGAAGCTGGTTGAGAGAATGCCAAGAGTGTGCAAAGCTGTCATCAAGGCAAAGGGTGGCTATTTGAAGAATCTCAAATATAAAATATATTGTTTAACACTTTTTTGGTTACTACATGATTCCATATGTGTAATTTCATAGTTTTGATGTCTTCACTATTATCCTACAATGTAGAAAATAGTAAAAATAAAGAAAAACCCTTGAATGAGTAGGTGTGTCCAAACTTTTCACTGGTAGTGTATATGTAGCTGTGCCCTTGAGCAAGGCATTTAACCCACATTTTTCCAGGGGCGCTGGACAATGGTGACTCTGGCCGTGACCCCACTCCCTGGGGCTGTCTCAGGGGGAGTTGGATATGCAAGAAACACATGTCCATTACACACCTGTACAAGTGTGTAACAGGACAAATATAAGCACCCCTAAATTATTCAGATTAGGCCTATCAGTGAAATAACTAATCTTCCTCTATTACAGCATGCACTGCTGTGTCTCTAACTCTCTCACCTCCAGTGGGTTGGAGCATGTAGATGAACTTCTTGGCATCTCGGACGTTGAGGGGCGTGACAGGGACCAGGCGGTTGGGCTGCCACACCTTGATACGGTTGGAGAAGCTGACAAAGTTAAACCGGTCGCCTGGACGCAGGTCCCTCAGGATAGTGAACAGGGCATCCTTAGTCTGAGAGAGAGGGAGGTGGGTGAGAGAGAGAGAAATTTTTTGTTTTGCTTTCATCAATAAATCAAATTATATCATTGTAATACCTTTACCTTCTTGCGAAATCATTCTATTCAGTTGTGTTTACATGAGCGAACCAAACAGGCCTGGAAAACTTTGCCCCAACAGGAAGAGATGCCTTGTCACATAAAAGGCTATAATAACACACGGTCATGGTTTCTGTTAGCACCAACACTGTGGTAATCACCAAGATGTAGTGTTTTAGTCATGGTTTTTGTGAGCAGTATTGTTGTAATGCCAACTCTGTAATGGTTGGACTTAACCTGACGCTGCCACTCAAAGACCCAGCCCTTTGGAACAGCTGTGAGATTCCATTTCCTTTGTCTCTCTCACCCCCTCACACACAAATGCACGTAAACACACACACCACAGCTATTTACTGTGTCCATGCTGCAGCTTGTTTCTCAACTGTACTGGGGTTTATAAATTGCACAGAACGAAAAGCCTACTAAATGAATAGTGAACATTACATCTGTAGTCGTGTGGGTGTGATAGAGTTGGAGGGGTTAACAGATTCCTATAGACTGTAGGGGGCAAGGGTCAGAGCCATAGACAGACTGAGTGCTCTATTGTAGGGAGAGATCAAAGCACACTTGTTCAATACAGAGTGGTCCACTGGGGGTGGAGGGGAACGGGGTAGGGATCAAGGGGTGATGATGCTGTCATCTGGAGTGTTTACATTACTTCAGAGACAATGACGCCTCTCCTCAATAGCATTCATTTCAATTCAATACGACTACAATAGTGAACTTTGAGCATGTTTCCAGCTTTTCAGGGTATGCATGAATCACTCTTTTCTGTTTTTGCCACTCTAAGTCTTTGGGTTTCTGGATCTGCAGTGGAGCAGCTGCTCAGATGAAGTATCAGATGATACCAGGGGGATTATAATGCAATCTCCCAGAAGGAAGGATCTGATTTTGATATTAACAGACCAGTGTGGGAGTATTGTGCCAGAGACTGGAGAGGGGGCTGACTGGGGGTCATATTCATCATCCGCTGCTACACTAACTCAGGATATCTCAGGATCTTTAAAGCTTTATCACAGAGCTGTGAAGGACTAAAGTAAAACAAAAGTTAACTCCACCTGGAATTTATTAAAACCAACAGATTCCCCAAAAGTTATACAGTATATATTTGTGATCATTGTATTCAGACGGAAACCATGTAAAAGAAAAGGGAGTGCGAGAGAACAAGATGTCGTGACCCTATCTAAGCAGTAGACACTGGTGTGATGAGAAGGGTTTGACCGTAACCAGTTACCTGTCTGATCTTGGTCCCCAGCATAGAGGCGCTGGTGTCGATCACAAACACCACGTTCTTGGGCACCACCGGCAGATCCTTGGGGGCGAAGTAGTGCACAAAATGGCCGTTCAGAACCTGAGAGAGAACCAGAGAAAAGTTAGACAGTTCTCAGTCGCCATGAGCAGTAAAACAGACCCCACCAACACAGTGTCCACAGGGCTGCTGGACTGATGGGGTGGTTGTTGGGTGACCCAGGAGGGGGTGGATATGGTGCTGGGAAATGTATGTGTTGTGGGTGGATGAAGGCTATGGGACCAGGATGTGTGAGAGTGTGTGTGAGAATGAGAGAGATGTGCATTTTTCCTGTTTGATCCTTGATTAATGCATGCAGTTTTCATTTATACTGTGAAGTGGAGATACATGGTTTAACATGTTTTTATCTACCATGTCTGGACAGGCCCTGGTTATGGCATGACACATTTACACTCATCGCGAGAGCGTTGCGTGTGTGTGTGTGTGTGTCTGTGTCCGTGTGTGTGTCTGTGTGTGTGTGAGTGTGATTTTGGTGTGTGAAATCTGACCTGTATGTCTCCTATCCCCAGCTCTCTCTCCACATCATAGTGCACCACAAACTCCCCCAGAATGCCGCTGGTGGTGATCTTAGCTTGCTGAACGATGTTGGGGCTGAAGGTGATCCTACAGAACGTCTTATTCTGTTTGATCACCGTGGAAACAGGAAGAGCAGGCTTGGCTGGTGGGAGGGAAAAATTAGATATGTGTGAGATAAAGCTGGGAAGTGTGTGTGTGTGTGTGGGGGGGAGGGGGGGGGGGGGGGGGGGGGGTGCTAAACTAGAGATGCCCAACTTGCCCATAGGAAGGTTAAATTAATTAAGTTGGAATCTGAAAATTAGAGCATTGGCCAAGTATTTTCAGAGGTGCCAATATCGCTGCAGAACTATTTCTAATGTTAGATACAGTGCATTCAGAAATTATTCAGACCCCTTGACTTTTTCCACATTTGTTACGTTATAGCCTTATTCTAAAATTGATTAAATCGTTTTTTCCCTTCATCAATCTACACACAATACCCCATAATGACAAAGCAAAAACAGGTTTTTAGAAAAGCTGAAATATCACATTTACATAAGTATTCAGACCCTTTACTCAGTACTTTGTTGAAGCACCTTTGGCAGCAATTACAGTCTTGAGTCTTCTTGGGTATGACGCTACAAGCTTGGCACACCTGTATTTGGGGAGTTTCTCCCATTCTTCTCTGCAGATCCTCTCAAGCTCTGTCAGGTTGGATGGGGAGCGTCGCTGCACAGCTATTTTCAGGTCTCTACAGAGATGTTTGATCGGGTTCAAGTCCGGGCTCTGGCTGGGCCACTCAAGGATATTCAGAGACTTGTCCCAAAGACACTCCTGCGTTGTCTTGGATATGTGCTTAGGGTCGTTGTCCTTCTGGAAGGTGAACCTTTGCCCCAGTCTGAGGTCCTGAGTGCTCTGGAGCAGGTTTTCATCAAGGATCTCTCTGTACTTCGCTCCGTTCATCTTTCCCTCGATCCTGACTAGTCTCCCAGTCCCTGCCGCTGAAAAACATCCCCACATTATGATGCTGCCACCACCATGCTTCACCGTAGGGATGGTGCCAGGTTTCCTCCAGACGTGACCCTTGGCATTCAGGCCAAAGAGTTCAATCTTGGTTTCATCAGACCAGAGAATCTTGTTTCTCATGGTTTGAGAGTCCTTTAGGTGCATTTTGGCAAACTCCAAGCGGGCTGTAATGTGCCTTTTACTGAGGAGTGGCTTCCGTCTGGCCACTCTACCATAAAGGCCTGATTGGTGGAGTGCTGCAGAGATGGTTGTCCTTCTGGAAGGTTCTCCCATCTCCACAGAGGAACTCTGGAGCTCCTTCAGAGTGACCATCGGGTTCTTGGTCTCCTCCCTGACCAAGGCCCTTCTCCCTTGATTGCTCAGTTTGGCCGGGCGGCTAGCTCTAGGAAGAATCTTGGTGGTTCCAAACTTCTTCCATTTAAGAATGATGGAGGCCACTGTGTTCTTGGGGACCGTCAATGCTGCAGAAATGTTTTGGTGTCCTTCCCCCTATCTGTGCCTCGACACAATCCTGTCTCGGAACTCTTCGGACAATTCCTTCAACCTCATGGCTTGGTTTTTGCTCTGACATGCACTGTCAACTGTGGGACCTTATAGGTGTGTGCCTTTCCAAATCATGTCCAATCAATTGAATTTACCACAGGTGGACCAATCAAGTTGTAGAAACATCTCTAGGATGATCAATAGAAACAGGATGTACTTGAGCTCAATTTCGAGTCTCATAGCAAAGGGTCTGAATACTTATGTAAATCAGGTATTTCTGTTTTTTATTTTTAATACATTTTCAAACATTTCTAAAAACCAGTTTTTGCTTTGTCATTATGGGGTATTGTGTGTAGATTGAGGAGGAAAACTTTTTTAAAATCCATTTTAGAATAAGGCTGTAACGTAACAAAATGTAGAAAAGGTAAAAGGGTCTGAATACTTTCTGAATGCACTGTATATTACACCCCTACTATGGACAAAGCACAGACTCAACACTTCACACACTCAAACTGTACCAGGTGTCTTCGCTGCACTGGCACCACTGGCAACTGCTGTGTTGCTCTTGCCGTTGCGCAGCGGCAGCACCTCCAGGTGGGTGATGGTGGAGTGATCCACGATGGTGATGTCCACACTGAGACGGCTGACCAGCTGCAGGGGTCTCAGGCTGGTCACATGCTCATACCTCCCCAGCCTCCGCTGGAGCAGCTCCTCATAGGTCAGCATGAACATGGCCCGATTACGACCTGGGATACTGGCCCCCATCCTGAACACCTCCACCTCTGGTTCGCTACTGAGGGAGAAGAGAGGAGGAGAGAGCGGAGAAGGAGAGAGAGATGGGGGAGGGGAGAGGGGAGAGGGGAGAGGGGAGAGGGGAGAGGGGAGAGAGGAGGAATGGGAAAGATGGAGAGAGGGAGGAGTGGAAGAAAAAATAAGAAGAATATAGAGGAAAGAAAAATAAATAGTTAGAGTTGAGGAAAGAGGAGGAGTGGGGAATGAGTCATTCCAAGTAGTGACATCATCAGTGTGGAAGGGCAGTGACTGCCAGGAGCTCCCCTCACGGGACTCAGCCCTGGACTCAGCCTCTGGACTAACCAATAAACAGATTAATTCCTCTGTCAATCGATCTATACCTCTCCCTCCTTTATTTTCTCCCTCCCATTCTCCTTCACGCTTTCTATCACTCTCCTTCTCTCCCCTTCTCTCTCTGTGAAATTGTAATTCTCTCTCTGTAAATCTGATTTCGTTTTAAAAGTGTCATTTTGTGGACTGGCAAGTAGAAGCATGATGTAATTTCTTCCTGTCAGAGACTGGTCACAGATATATGTGACAATAATTCTTCATTTCCAGTCTCTGGAGCTATGATCCAGCCCTGCTGCTCAACTCCAGGCAGGTCAGAAACACATGCTCTGTGGTCAGGCTGGTGTTTAAAGTCGCACTCCAGTCTCCTTTTCACCTCATTTAACACCTGATTTACTTAAGAAAATACCTTTCCTCTTTTGATCTCTATTGCTCCTCTATTGTTCCCACAAACAAGGGGGAGGCTGATGACATTTGAGGGCACCATCAGACCAACTCATTTAATGGCCTAACTCCATGAAGTTTGCACTTGTATCTAAAAAACACTATTTTGCTCCAAACATGTTTTTTTTACCCTGAGTGTGTGTCGATTACTGTATTTATATGTGGGATATTGTTTTTCAACAGGAAAAGTTCAAAAATAGCCGGAGTGCGTCTTTAAAATAGTTTTTTAGATGGGATATAAACCTGTTTCTACTGGCAGAGCAGTAGCTAGTGACTCTAGAGGACTCTAGAGGTTGTACTGGCGGACAAGGTTAGACAGTGGTGACTGGCCACACACACACACACACAAGAACACACACACTTTACCTCTGTTCACCTGTCTCCTTGTTCTTGGGTTTGGCCTCACCCCCCTTCCCCTGTTTGACCTTCTTCTCCTTTGGCCTAACCTCACTAGGGTAGACACGCCCCCCAATGATCCTGTGTTCAGGGTAGAGGTCAGAGGTCAGGGGTTAAGAGTGGAGGTGATGATAAGGACCACCCTAGTAAGTAGTTCTTCCGTGGCAAAACTCTATCCAAGAATCATTGGAAAAACCCTAATTTCATTGTGGTAGGTCTATACTGTATATTGCTGTGTTATTGTGATACGTAAAAGTAAACAGGCAAACAAGTCAAAGCCATATGTTGGATTTCACAGGCTTCTTCAGAGGCTTCTGGACTATACTGTCTCTCATGGTCCAGTGAACAATCTAGTAAATGTAGATGAATGAAGGCTGGTGACCATGACACAATAAATGACCTCTGCACCATTGAACACTCACAGGCACCACACTAACCTCTCCCATAGCAACAGAGCCCTCATAAAACCACATAATGATTGACTGGCTACAATGGCATACCATGTGAAGAGGGCAAACACAGCAAAGAGGAGTAGTAATCACACAACAGTAAACTGGGGAAATAAATAAGAAATCCAAATAATCAAAAGTGAAAAAATTGAGGGGGAAAAGATCCACTGGCAGGGATGACTCACTGCATTGCTTTGGCCATTATAGTTCACTTTCAATAAGTGTACACAATCTGAACCACATTAGACTCAGACTGACCAATACCAATGCGCCATTATGCATTTGTTGCGTTTTGGGCTTGCTTACATGGTAAAGTTCGAGACATAGGCGTTCTTGGGGATCGGGAACTGGAAGACGCCCTCCGCCGCGGCGGAGTGCCGGTTGAGCATGGTGCACGACACCGCCGTGAAGGCGTATCGGGAGATGATGGTGGTCTTCACCGACAGCTCCTGGATGTGCGGTTTGGTCTCCTACACGGTTGGACATCAACATGTTAGGTTAATGTGTATTACTTATACCTTAGCTTTGATTGGTTTGTAATACATTTGGTTAATTTAAATCTGGCAGTGATTGATGTTTTTCAGGTCTCGTCAATGGGACAACACAGCACTGCGCACACGCACACACACGTTGCGCATTGGAAATTGTTCCATTCCGTTAATTTCCAGTGATATATCGTTCCAAACTCCTTATCAGCACGTTTGCGGGATATCCTCACATATTTTGGATTGTATTTCTGGATAGATGTCCAGCGATTTCCACTCATCTGGCTTACAGCGCGGTGCGTTTGGAAGTTCTCTGCGTGTCACACCCGAGCAGAGTTTTCGAGGATGACAAAATGCAGAGCTGAACTACCCATCCCTCTACTCAGCTTACACGAAATACTTTTTGTGACATATTCTATAATTGTTATCAATGAATAACAGTATGCATAAGCAGATCTCTTTGAGAATTAATGTGAATGATATTTAGTCTATAGTAGCCTAGGCTACACACACAATGACGCACAAGAGCGCAAAAGATGCATAAGGGCAGAAATGTCAAGACACTAAACGGTGTATTCTTTACCTTAGTAAGCATGGCTTTCACCTGGCGAGGCACTCTATGGGGTGACTGAGATGGGAAACAAAATAGATTTGTTAAACAGCGCTCTAATGAAGCTCAAAATATATATCAATGTTGCCAAATGAAATAGTTCAGAGTTGAAATGACACTCACAATATCCAAATCAAAGTCGGTCAAGTCGGGACAAAGATCATCCTCAATATTAATATCCTCAAACAGTCCAAAAACATACGGATTGAAACAAATCAGTAAAGTCAAAAACAGCATGTTGACGTCCATATCCATTTACAGTAATAACAAATAAGAGCTCAAATTTCCTGCGGGTCGTTCGGATCAGTGACTGGACCTGGAGCTGAGACGATGAATGAGGACACTTGACTCGCATCGGCAAGCCCACTCGCAGAGAGATACAGAGTCGTCCCCCTCGACTAGACTAGCCGCGTCGGGGGCTCGGGGGGCTGAGGGAAAAAGCGCCTGGCCCGGTCACACACAGGCACACTGCTATTACAATGTGCACGCCAATCCAAAGCCCATAAATTACCTCTATAGTCTTCCTTCACTACTCGCCTTGAAGTTGACCCCACTTCCACTCCAACAAATCACTTGGACCTCAAGGGCAATGTGGTTCAGCCAAGTGTCACTGTCAAGGCTACTTTGAAGAATCTCAAATATAAAATATATTTTGATTTGTTTAACACTTTTTTGGTTACTACATGATTCCATATGTGTTATTTCATAGTTTTGATGTCTTCACTATTATTCTACAATGTAGAAAATAGTAAAAATAAACAAAAACCCTTGAATGAGTAGGTGTGTCCAAACCTTTGACTGGTACTGTATGTAATGGGGAATTGATAAAAAATAACTAATCAAAGGGTAAACAATTCACACAATGAAACAATGAATGTGCAAGAATTGGCGGGAGATAACAGACCACATTCTGGAGAGCTGAGTGCATGCATTCTGGAGAAAGAAGTCCACATCTTCACCACACACCCCTCCCCTTCTTCTTGTCTCAACATTTTAAATTATACTCAAGACACATTATCTTCACATATTTTAGATGCTTTTCACTGACAGCCACAACTCAATAATCAGCTAGGCCTATTGCCACACGCGTTGCCCAAATGGCTGGCTTCCCAAATAAGCATAGGCCTATGCACTTGTGATTTGAAACAATCCACAGCTATTTTTTAAAGGAAGCTGATGATCCTCTGTGGCTAAGTCAAGATCTTTGGTAAAGTATTTTCTATTATTTTATTTAGACAGGAGTAATGATATAATTTTGACATTTTGCCAGCACCCGAACAGTGAACTGTGCACCCACCAACTTTCTTTTTTAATTCGCAAGAGGCTGAAACCAGAGTTCTGTATACAGTGCATTCGGAAAGTATTCAGACCCCTTTACTTTTTCCACATTTTGTTACGTTACAGCCTTATTCTAAAATTGATTAAATTGTTTTTTTCCCCTCATCAATCTTATACACAATACCCCATAAGGACAAAGCAAAAACGGTTTTTTAGATGTATTACAAATAAAAAACGGAAACATCACATTTACATAAGTATTCAGACCCTTTACTCAGTACTTTGTTGATGCACCTTTGGCAGCGATTACAGCCTCGAGTCTTCTTGGGTATGACACTACAAGCTTGGCACACCTGTATTTGGGGAGTCTGACCACAGAGCATGTGTTTCTGACCTGCCTGGAGTTGAGCAGCAGGGCTGGATCATAGCTCCAGAGACTGGAAATGAAGAATTATTGTCACATATATCTGTGACAAGTCTCTGACAGGAAGAAATTACATCATGCTTCTACTTGCCAGTCCACAAAATGACACTTTTAAAACGGAATCAGATTTACAGAGAGAGAATTACAATTTCACAGAGAGAGAAGGGGAGAGAAGGAGAGTGATAGAAAGCGTGAAGGAGAATGGGAGGGAGAAAATAAAGGAGGGAGAGGTATAGATCGATTGACAGAGGAATGAATCTGTTTATTGGTTAGTCCAGAGGCTGAGTCCAGGGCTGAGTCCTGTGAGGGGAGCTCCTGGCAGTCACTGCCCTTCCACACTGATGATGTCACTACTTGGAATGACTCATTCCCCACTCCTCCTCTTTCCTCAACTCTAACTATTTATTTTTCTTTCCTCTATATTCTTCTTATTTTTTCTTCCACTCCTCCCTCTCTCCATCTTTCCCATTCCTCCTCTCTCCCCTCTCCCCTCTCCCCTCTCCCCTCTCCCCTCCCCCATCTCTCTCTCCTTCTCCGCTCTCTCCTCCTCTCTTCTCCCTCAGTAGCGAACCAGAGGTGGAGGTGTTCAGAATGGGGGCCAGTATCCCAGGTCGTAATCGGGCCATGTTCATGCTGACCTATGAGGAGCTGCTCCAGCGGAGGCTGGGGAGGTATGAGCATGTGACCAGCCTGAGACCCCTGCAGCTGGTCAGCCGTCTCAGTGTGGACATCACCATCGTGGATCACTCCACCATCACCCACCTGGAGGTGCTGCCGCTGCGCAACGGCAAGAGCAACACAGCAGTTGCCAGTGGTGCCAGTGCAGCGAAGACACCTGGTACAGTTTGAGTGTGTGAAGTGTTGAGTCTGTGCTTTGTCCATAGTAGGGGTGTAATATACAGTGCATTCAGAAAGTATTCAGACCCTTTTACCTTTTCTACATTTTGTTACGTTACAGCCTTATTCTAAAATGGATTTTAAAAAAGTTTTTCCTCCTCAATCTACACACAATACCCCATAAGGACAAAGCAAAAACGGTTTTTTAGATGTATTACAAATAAAAAACGGAAACATCACATTTACATAAGTATTCAGACCCTTTACTCAGTACTTTGTTGATGCACCTTTGGCAGCGATTACAGCCTCGAGTCTTCTTGGGTATGACACTACAAGCTTGGCACACCTGTATTTGGGGAGTTTTTCACCATTCTTCTCTGCAGATCCTCTCAAGCTCTGTCAGGTTGGATAGGGAGCGTCGCTGCACAGCTATTTTCAGGTTTCTCAAGAGATGTTCGATCGTCTGGGCTCTGGCTGGGCCACTCAAGGATATTCAGAGACTTGTCCCGAAGCCACTCCTGCGTTGTCTTGGCTGAGTGCTTAGGGTCGTTGTTTGGTTGGAATGTGAACCTTCGTCCCGGTCTGAGGTCCTGAGTGCTCTGGAGCAGGTTTTCATTAAGGATCTCTCTGTACTTTGCTCCTTTCATCTTTCCCTCGATCCTGACTAGTCTCCCAGTCCCCCAGTTCTCATGGTCTGAGAGTCCATTAGGTGCCTTTTGGCAAACTCCAAGCGGGCTGTCATTTGCCTTTTACTGAGGAGTGGCTTCCGTCTGGCCACTCCACCATAAAGGCCTGATTGGTGGAGTGCTGCAGAGATGGTTGTCCTTCTGGAAGGTTCTCCCATCTCCACAGAGGAACTCTGGAACTCAGTCAGAGTGACCATCGGATTCTTGGTCACCTTGCTGACGAAGGCCCTTCTCCCCCGATTGCTCAGTTTGGCCGGGTGGCCAGCTCTAGGAAGAATCTTGGTGGTTCCATACTTCTTCCATTTAAGAATGATGGAGGCCACTGTGTTCTTGGGGACCTTCAATGCTGCAGTAATGTTTTGGTACCCTTCCCTAGATATGTGCCTCGACACAATCCTGTCTCAGAGCTCTATGGACAATACCTTCACCCTTATGGCTTAGTTTCTGCTCTGACATGACCTATCAACTGTGGGACCTTAAATAGACAGGTGTGTGCCTTTCCAAATCATGTCCAATCAATTGAATTGACCAATCAAGTTGTAAAAACATCTCAAGGATGATCAATGGAAACAGGATGCACTGGAGCTCAATTTCAAGTCTCATAGCAAAGGGTCTAAATACTTATGTAATACATTTGCATACATTTGTCATTATGGGGTATTGTGTGTAGATTGATGAGATTATTATTTTTGGGTCAATTTTACAATAAGGCTGTAACCTAACAAAATGTGGAAAAACGGAGGGGTCTGAATACTTTCTGAATGACGAGGTGCTCATGTCTCCATCCAAACAATACGAGTTGTTGTCCCAAAGGCGGGAATGCAGGCGACAAGCTTAGGTCTGTATATTATGCCCATAGAAACACATTTTCGGCGAGAGTGAGCCCTCTTGCTTCGCCTCTTCCTCTCTGCTAAATCTAACGCGCAACACAGCGCCACACTGTCTTACCATATGTAACCCATGTATCTGATGCTGTCTGGTCAGAAAAAGTATGACATGCCATACTCCTTTTTTTTCCAGATAGCATCAGATACATGGTCTACACATACGGAGACAGAGGAGCGCTGTTTTGCTTGCTTGGATGCTTTATCTGAGAATGATGCGTCTTTCTGTCGGTGCGCGTCTCGGTCAAATAAATGATCAATATTTATATATTTTATTTGGACGGGCAAGGAGGTACGGTAGGGCGGGCCAGGCCCCCTAGGGCCCGCCCATAACGCCGGCCCAGCACACAATTACATTGATTTAACACAACACTCTCCATTTGTCATTATCATTACTCAGACTGGAAATGCTGCCACACTGTAATTTCAGCTGAGACATCACAGGGTGTTTGAGGGGCTGTTTATTTTTTTGAGTTGGTATTGTAATAGGCTATGCTGTGTGTGTGTGTTCAATCAATTTCAAGTGTTTCAAGTGTATTTCTATGTCTCTTTCTCAAGTGCTATCTTTTCTCAACAAATGTGCATTTGCATTTCTGAATTAGTGGAAAACATTTCCGAATGCATTTTAGCGGACATTGAAGTTGAACTTAAAAAAAAAAAAAACAATGGTGAGAATAATTCAGTCTATTCTTGACATTTATGTCTTAGGTACATGGCTTATTTTTTGGATAACACAGTTCCTCTACAGTTCTACAGGATTTCAGGAGTCATGGCTGAAGAACTGGTCACGTCAGATAGCGCGGTTCATCTCCCAGTACAGCCAGCAAGCACCTGGCAGGGGATGAGAGGTCAGCGCTGGTCAGCATACAGAGGGAGGTCAGGCTCAGAGCTCTGATTTTCATTAAACTGGCAGACAAGCAAAAGCCCCCCATGGCCAGAGAGCCCTGTAAAACATGGAAGAGGCCAGGAATTGGAGCATGTGATGGCGCCCCCATGGAGCAGGTGGCGTTTGACCTCAGAAGACCAGGAGGTGGCCCAGTTGGCAGCAGCCATGGCCATTCTGTGTCTTCCTGATTGATAATGTGAATGAATTGTGCCTACCAGGTTTGGGGTCAATTCCATTTTAAATCAGTTAATTCAGGAAGT